AATGAAACCGGAAGTAATTTTGTATTTAGTAAACTAATGTTTTAAAACATTCAATTTTGCTTGAAAATTATGCTTTCTGGCAACTAAAATTGTGAACCATTAGGAAACAGCTGTTCATGCCTATTGATTTTCTTAGAAAACATTTTTAGCGCAATTTCCATTCTGGAGAATTGCGATTATTAACTCGTCATTTCTGGGATGGATGGATGGATGGATGGATGGATGGATGGATGGATGGATGGATGGATGGATGGATGGTTGGATGGATGGATGGATGGATGGATGGATGGATGGATGGATGGATGGATGGATGGATGGATGGATGGGTGGGTGGGTGGGTGGGTGGGTGGGTGGGTGGGTGGGTGGGTGGGTGGGTGGGTGGATGGATGGATGGATGGATGGATGGATGGATGGATGGATGGATGGGTGGGTGGGTGGGTGGGTGGGTGGGTGGGTGGGTGGGTGGGTGGGTGGGTGGGTGGGTGGGTGGGTGGGTGGATGGATGGATGGATGGATGGATGGATGGATGGATGGATGGATGGATGGATGGATGGATGGATGGATGGATGGATGGATGGATGGATGGATGGATGGATGGATGGATGGATGGATGGATGGATGGATGGATGGATGGATGGATGGATGGATGGATGGATGGATGGATGGATGGATGGATGGATGGATGGATGGATGGATGGATGGATGGATGGATGGATGGATGGATGGATGGATGGATGGATGGATGGATGGATGGATGGATGGATGGATGGATGGATGGATGGATGGATGGATGGATGGATGGATGGATGGATGGATGGATGGATGGATGGATGGATGGATGGATGGATGGATGGATGGATGGATGGATGGATGGATGGATGTCCGCAGCTTTAAGTCGTATCTCCTCCTCAACGAAGCAATATTGAGGACTAGTTCCAAAAGCAAATATGTTAAGCAAGTTCCAAGGATGATTGTGGGCCAAAAAAATTTCCGGAATTCCTTCCTGGATTTCCCGGAAAAGCCAAAAAACCTCGAACAAATGCGGTTTTTGCTCGATATCTCGGCAACCAGACCACTTAGCGACTTGAAACATTTACCAATCAATTCCTACCATAATTTAGACCAATATTGCAGAAGAAAGTTTTCAAAAATATCCTTTCGTTCGGTCACAAAAAAGTTTTTAAAATTATTTAAACTGAGCGTCTTGTAGGCCTAGGATTATATTTTAAACTGAGCATCGTGTAGGCCTACTAGAAGAAGCGAAGCGGTGAAGTTCCAAACCAAGCACACCGGCTCAGGCAGTCGCTAGTGAGAGGTAACGTCTACTTTACGCATGTTAATTAAGGAAATTGCGCTTAAATTGTCACTAGACTTTTTATTAACTTGTTTTTTTCCATTTCATAAGGATTAAAAATTTTAAGTTAAAAAGTGGAAAATTGCGCGTACCGCCAAGAAGACACGAAAGTGATTTTTTAAAAAAAGTAGGCTAGTTTATACTAGATATATTTTCTTATAAAATATATCAAGTATAAACTAGCCTACTGAGTGGTCTATACAAATTCCTGTAATAAATTTCATTGTGGTCTACACGATTTTACTCCCTATATTTTGCCTTACTCGGCTCGTTTGATGGTGAACTGTTCACAAGTCGGGTTGACCTTGCCGAGAAAACGTCACGCTTATACAAAATAGGCCTCAGGTAGAGGTTCGTACAAACTAGCAATGTCTAGTATGGATTGTACGGATAAGCCACACGTTAAATTAAGAAGCTGAAGATAAAACCGTCGAGGACGGTGAACTGTTCACATCTGCTGTTTATAAGAACGTCATGCTTACTCTAAATGCCCTGACCGCAAAGAAGACGCTGTAATCTCAATTTTGAATAACTATTGCTATAATGCTTAATTTTTTTTCAAATTTATATCAATATTATGCATAGTGGACACCAGGGAGTTGACGAGATTCCTTCCATAATGTTGTTGACATGGAATAAAAACGTGCTTTTTAGATTTAGACCGTAAAAAAAATAAAAAATAAAAACTTAAGCCTAAAATTAATTTAGAAATTTTATATTTTTAGAATAATTGCTATAAAATTTGCCGCCAGAGAACTTGAAAATAATTTGTTGAGTTTAAGGCTACATTTCTATTTATTTTCATCAAGCCTAAGTTATAACCGGATGCTTCACTTTCGTAAGACAAATATTGATTGGCTGTACAGTAACTTAGTGATCGATAACTATTTGTTTACAAAACTTTGCAGATCAAGTTTTTAAATAACAATGCAAATTTAAACCCCATGACATAGTTTTTCTATTTTTAGCTTACAATGTGTACAATAAAATTTATGGCGGCCTATCGAATTAAAGGATGCCATTGTTTATGTCGCCATTAAACGTGAAAACCAAATTGTTGTTGCTTTTTTTTAAATTTTATTTAGTTACCGAAAATATTAAAAATATCAGATACATCCAATCTTTAGTAAAGTCCGAAAAAAACAGACAGGCAGGATTTTATAACCATATTAATTTTTACTACGCCGTGCATGATTTTGAAATTAATTTATGGACCTCTCAAGTACCTTTGAGACTTTTCTCGCTGGCGTCCATTGTAACAACAAAATCACGCAACCATATACTTTGATTACTAATTGTTTTATTATAACACATAATTATTTGTGTTTTTTTTTAGTTTATTAAAATAATTTTTAATGAGTATAAGAAAATCGACTAATGATAAATTTAAGTCATAAATAATTTAACTAATAAATTATTATTTCACTATTTGAAATTTACAATTTTCTGGTGGATCTTAATACAGCCGCTATTTTGTTCGCAAAAATATATTAGAGTGGTTTCCCTTTATTTATGTCATTCATTTATTTTTTAACTAGATCTCTAAAAGTATAAACCGGGAGTGAGCTGCCCTAGACTTTCTCGAATATTCTTATATGAAACAACAGGGGATGGCAACTCGGGATATAGGCGCGACTTTTAATCCATTTTAAATACTTAACCTTTTATAAATAGAATAAAATCTTGTAGAAAAAAGAATTGCACACCAAGGAACGCCAAAGAAAGATGTTCATAATAGTGCGCAATACTATTAGTACTTTATAAATTTACATGCGTTTTTTGAGAAATCGGAAATAGCGTTAATTAGTACTTCCGGTCAACGGAAATTACTCACAATTTGATAGAAGGTAGAGAATTAGATCTTTTACTTACATGTGAAATTTCATTTATCTATCTGAAATAGTACTCAAGTTATAGGCTTATGAAAAATTCAAAGTAGAAAAAGTACCACTTCCGGTTATCGGAAATCGCTCAAAAGTTGTTAAGGATCTATGACTTTGATAAAATACTTTTAAATGAAATTTCATCAACCTAGCTGTAACGGTACTCAAGTTATCGTTCTTACACACACACACACACAGACACACAGACATACGGACAAGATTGCAAAATTATGTTTTTCCGTATCAGTGAGGTGTGAAACGTCGAGATTTGTAAAAATCTCGATTTTTTTTTTTTGCACGATTACAAGACTTTCTCTATACTTCGTATATACGAGAAAGTAAAAAAGTATTCACTTCTCTGTAATATGTCTTCAGAAGGTAGAAGTTAACATATCACTGCATGTTCGTACAGGCGTCGGCTTCATTAAGAACGAATTGCTAAAAAATTTAGGTTATACTCATACATAAAATTGTTTAAGTTATCGTTTTTACTCTTAAATAAATTATCATTTCCGTCTACCGAAATAGCTTGAACGTTATAAGAAACATACGCATATGATACAATATCTGCAATATCGTCTACCTAATTGAATTCATACTCAATTTATTGGCTTTTGAGAAACCGGTGAGTACCAAAAATAACTTTAATGTCGAGAGAAGCATACGTATATCTTGTAAGGGTCACTGTTCCCATTTTAACATTAAAGACATTACACTGCCGCCCCCCCCCCCCTCCCTTGCTCCTCCCCCCGAATATAGTAAAGATATTTTCGCTGATGAGATATCCATTTTCATTATTTCAGTGGGCATTTTGCGGTCCACGTTTAATTATCTTACTCTTTATTACATTCCTATTGTTAAAATTAACTCCGACTTTAACCGTAGGTTTTAACTTTATGAAACATTCCGTACAGCTCACCGTTTGTATTATTACAAGCTTTTATTTAACTCACTTCCTCTGTCGTCAGTCGTCAGTCGTCAGTCTAGACGGAAACGCAGGAGTGAAAATTCGGACAGTTCTACTTGACCGATACGATTCACAGTTGGCACGTGGGTCAAGACATGAAGACAATGCAATCTGAAACTAAATTTGACTTAATTGGATGCCTAATTAATTTTTTATGAATTAATAAAAATTTGGACCGAATTAGTAGGCATGTCTAGCCAACCACACCACACGCGTCATCACCTTCAATAGCTGCGCCATCACGTAATGGCTGCGTTCAAAAACCATTGCGCGCCTACTGAACGTGATGTTCAGTAGGCGCGCAATAGTTTTTAGTCATGTAAATCTATTGTAAATAAAACATGTAAAGTACTGAAAAAAAAATTCATAAAAAACGTTTTAATAACAAGCTTTTATGTAATGATGCACTAAAAAGTAGAAAATAAATTATAGACTAGTATTTAAATAACTATAAAGAAAAGCGTGGGTGTCTTCCTTAACATTAGTAAAGGTATCCAATAGATACTAAAGTGACCCACGCTTTTCTTTATAGTTATTTAAATAATAGTCTATAATTTATTTTCTACTTTTTAGTGCATCATTACATAAAAGCTTGTTATTAAAACGTTTTTTATGAATTTTTTTTCATAATATGTTTTAGTATAACATCACGTAACATCGGTATGAGAATAAATAGCAAAAAACTGAACAGACTTAATACAATTTTGTTGCAGAAATTATGAAAATTAATGAAGAAAATTCGACGCAGTAGTTTAATATGAAAGTACACCACCAACTTATTCACATCATAAAATTAGAATTAAAAGCCTATAGTCTTATTAATTAATTTATTAACATTTCTAATTATTTATGAATGAATTACACGTTTGCATTTGGAAAACGTACAGATAAAAGGAAATGCAACTGATTTTATAGACCATGTTTACAAAATGTTAAATAGAATACATGAGACATAAATCGTGAAATTTTTATACATATATTTTTTGTAACACCAAGTTTTTTTTTAATCGGTTGTTGATGATAAGTTGATTCATTTAAACCACATGTAATTGGAATGTATTTTTCCGTTTCTTTTATCCACAAAATAAACCACATTCGGACAGTATACAATTGTTTGGCGTTTTGATTCACTTCACTACATTCTCGATCACCAGTTGAACACTTTGATAAACAACATCTTAAATTCTGTACTAAACTGCTTGAAGGTCCACCACCGTCTTCCTATTTATAGCCTCTCTTCATGTCAGGTTCAATATCGAGCTGGGTGGCTTCAGGTGTCAGACCACACCTTCTTCTCAATGTGTTGCCGTAAGTCCAGATCCATTTGTTGCAAACTTAAAACAGGATAATTAATTACTCATTCTTGATAATTGAGGCACATATAAAGGAAATTTCTAGTTTTCAAGTAACCTGTTCATGGCTATACCCTGGGGTTTAATGATGGTTTATATTCAAGAGCTTTTATCGGGGGGTTTATGTTGAAGGGATTTCTTAGAGGGTTTTTCGTCAAAGCACTATGGATAATGCCTATTTAAAAAAACACAACCTCTTATTCATTCTTAACATCTTATAAGTTATTATTTTATGTACTTATATTTGAATAATTACCATAGTCTCGGTATTTTTTGAGCTAGTCTAAATTTTTCTGCAGCAGGGCCTTTGAATATTTTAAACAAGAGTTTCATCAGAGGGCACACACATATATATATATATATATATATATATATATATATATATATATATATATATATATATATATATATATATATATATATATATATGATACACCTATAAATAGAACTTACTCCATTTTTGCCCAATGAGTACAGGACATCCGCCATGTAGAGTCATTTGATCCTTCTGATGAGCTGGGTTGAAATTGTACCAGAAAAGAGCCATGTTCTTTTGATGGGATGAAAGAAAAAAAATTTTCTCACTTAGGCTTTATACAATATAATTTGGTTAAATTTCGGCTTTATTCAATATAATTTGGTTAAATGTGGCTTTATACAATATAAATTGGTTAATTTTTGCTTTATACAATATAATTTGGTTACATTTTGATTTTATACAATATAATTTGGTAAAATTTTGGCTTTATACAATACGCACAAAATGTTGTTAAATTTTGGCTTTATGCTTATGATATGGTAAAATGTTGACTTTATGCTATATGCAAAACATTTTGGTTCAATTTTGGCTTTATACAATACACGAAACATTTTGGTTCAATTTTGGCTTTATACAATATACAAACTATTTTAGTTAAATTTTGGCATTATGCAATATAATATGATTAAAACTTGACTAATTAATAACAATATGCATAATGTTTTTCGTTACATTTTGGCTCCTTCGGCTAGATGGAATATGTCAAATTATAGTTCTAAGGTGTGCGATGGATAAAACTACCTTGACAGGTGCTACAGCTATCCCAGCTCTAGTGAAGACGGTAGATCCACCTCGCTGTACATCACTTAACTGTTAGATAAAGAAGGAAACTAGATCATTACATGTTAGGCATCATTAACTGAAGTTTTGGAGACGAAAAAAAATCTTATGACTTGGTAGTTCTTTCTGTACTAGAGAAGTAAAAGACGAACACGAAGCGGACTGGTGTGGTAGGTAGTGGGGCGGTTCCTTTCATAATTATTTTTTTTTTACATCGACATATAATTAGCATGGTTAGTGCCAGACGTAGATGGAATGTGGAGATAATGGTACTAGTGAGACTGGTCAGCAGGTTGAATCTGTTACATGAGCACAGAAAGTAAGTGTTAGGTTAAACTCACACACAAAACAAAAGTGACAAGAAAGTTTAAGTGTAGGATTAAATCACCTTCATGCAAAAGAAAATAACAAAGGAGTTTAGGATTAAATCACTTACATGTTAAAAGAAGATAGCAATGGTCGCTAGGATTAAATCACTTACATACAAAAGAAAATAACAAAGGAGTTTAGGATTAAATCACTTACATACAAAAGAAAATAACAAAAGAGTTTAGGATTAAATCACTTACATACAAAAGAAAATATCAAAAGAGTTTAGGATTAAATCACTTACTTACAAAAGAAAATAGCAATAGTGTTTAAGATTATATGAAGTACATACAAAAAGAAAATAGCAAAGGATGACTTACATAAATTAGAAAAGTAGCGATTCTCTCCCCTGAGTTCTTCAGTTCGGAATGCGATGATACAGTCTGAAAATATCAGTGAGACGTTTAAAAGTCTTGAACACGACAACAATACAGAGAAGACAGGCCAAGGTGAGATGTTTTAAATACGACAACAATAGAGAGAGGATAGGCCATAGCAACCATACAGCATACTTCATACAAGTAGGACCTATTTTTAATTATACATGATAAAATCGGTTATATGACAACGTTCAAGATGCTGTTGAGCACTTTCTTGGTAAATTAAAGCTGAAGCGATGGCCTGAAGACCAAATTCATCATCACAAGTCCACACCACATCACCCCAATCTCACACACACTCCCAACATGTGCCATGTTACACAACACAAACACACATCCACGCACACACACATATACACAACAACTACAACAACGACAGCATACACACAACTGCATGCAAACATATTTCTCAACAGACTCAAACCAGTTCAGCTACACCGGTTTTCAGCTGCAGACGTTCAGACTAGAATCAACACAACGCCTAACTAAACTCTCGAAACTTCTTACCTCAAGTGGGTCCATATGCACCTCATAATGCCCGCCTAGGCCGTAGTTGACCACCTGTAATAAGATCACTAAAGATTCAGAGAATTAAATAATGTTGTATAAAAAATTTTAAACCCCCCTCCTCACCCCTGACCCTTCCTGTCATTTTAAATCTTCACAAATAGCCAAAGCTAAAAATATCCTCTTCCCTCCCCCCTACCCACATAATAATCCACTTCTTCGTTGTTTTTGTCATGTGAAAAACAGGAAAAGAAAAAAAATCAGGCGTTTCATTTTTATGAGCATTCTATTACCTTAGTAATGCATACATGCACACATTTTGGTCAGTTTTTATTTATTTATTTTTAAACTTTATTTCCTATGTAAGAACTTTAAATTTTTAAATTTCAACTTTGAGTATGGAATCAAGACGAAAATTGTATGTAATCTACCATGTCCCCATCCTAACATATGACTAACATATGATTACTCCCGGTTATGCCCCTTAGAGCTGTATTCTACAGCTGCCCATCCACACCCCAAACAACAGCTGCCCATCCACAACCCAAACAACAGCTGCCCATCCACAACCCAAACAACAGCTGCCCATCCACAACCCAAACAACAGCTGCCCCATCCACAACCCAAACAACAGCTGCCCATCCAAACAACAGCTGCCCATCCAAACAACAGCTGCCCATCCAAACAACAGCAACCCATCCACACCCGAAACAACAGCTGCCCATCTACACCCCAAACAACAGCTGCCCATCCACCCCAAACAACAGCTGCCCATCCAAACAACAGCAACCCATCCACACCCCAAATAACAGCTGCCCATCCACCCCAAACAACAGCTGCCCATCCAAACAACAGCAACCCATCCACACCCCAAATAACAGCTGCCCATCCACACCCGAAACAACAGCTGCCCATCTACACCCCAAACAACAGCTGCCCATCCACCCCAAACAACAGCAACCCATCCACACCCGAAACAACAGCTGCCCATCTACACCCCCCTCCCCAAACAACAACTGCCCATCCCCACCCCAAACAACAGCTGCCCATCCCCACCCCAAACAACAGCTGCCCATCCCCACCCCAAACAACAGCTGCCCATCCCCACCCCAAACAACAGCTGCCCATCCACACCCTAAACAACAGCAGCCCATCCACACCATGACAACAGCTGCCCATCCACACCCAAAACAACAGCTGCCCATCTACAACCCAAACAACAGCTGCCCATCCACACCATAACAACAGCTGCCCATCCACAACCCAAACAACAGCTGCCCATCCACACCAAACAACAGCAACCCATCCACACCCGAAACAACAGCTGCCCATCTACACCCCCCTCCCCAAACAACAACTGCCCATCCCAACCCCAAACAACAGCTGCCCATCCACACCATAACAACAGCAACCCATCCCAACCCCAAACAACAGCTGCCCATCCCCACCCCAAACAACAGCTGCCCATCTACAACCCAAACAACAGCTGCCCATCCACACCATGACAACAGCTGCCCATCCACACCCCAAACAACAGCTGCCCATCTACAACCCAAACAACAGCTGCCCATCCACACCATAACAACAGCTGCCCATCCACAACCCAAACAACAGCTGCCCATCCACACCATAACAACAGCTGCCCATCCACACCCCAAACAACAAACAACAGCTGCCCATCCACACCATAACAACAGCTGCCCATCCACACCAAACAACAGCTGCCCATCCACACCCCAAACAACAGCTGCCCATCCACACCCCAAACAACAGCTGCCCATCTACACCCCAAACAACAGCTGCCCATCTACAACCCAAACAACAGCTGCCCATCCCCACCCCCAGCAGACCTGAAACGCTTCTGACGACGATGGACCGTAGGGGTGTCTCTGTGACGTATCGAGACCTGTGATGTATTCGATTCTTTTCGAGATGGACGATGCCAGGTCTGACTCGTAGTCACGAATCCAGGACCTGCAACAGACAATAACAAATGTAATAAACAGTGACAAACATATGACATGTGTTCAAATAAATGACCTAAGTCAGTTAAAATTACGATTAGAAACTTAATTTTTAAAATTAAACAACTGTTATTGTAACTTGTATGTTACGCAAAGTTGAACACGTATTAAGTCAATAAAAAAAAACGTCAGAATCTTAGGATATTTTTTAAAAAATCCTATGGCGTCAATATCCGAGCTAATTGTGAAATTCTGATTTTTACACGTGGTAAGTCTAATGTCAAATGTCACGTGTTGATGACCTGCGGGCGGTGAACAATATGAGTTACTTACAGGTAACAGTTACCTGTCACATACAGTTCACTGACCTCTAGTACTGACCTATGATACCTGTCATATACAGGTCACTGACCTATGATACCTGTCACATACAGGTCACTGACCTATGATACCTGTCACAAACAGGTCACTGACCTCTAGTAATGACCTATGATACCTGTCACATACAGGTGACTGGCCTATAGTATTGACCTATGATACTTACAAGTCACTAGTTCTCACGTCTGATACTATTGGTTTCCCAGATCCAATTTTTCCTCTCACAAGCTGCAGAGATAGAGACAAATTGTGAGACATTTACTGTTGGATGTAGGAAACCTTCACCACCCACCAAAGGAAACCTTGACCACCCACCATAGGAAACCTTGACCACCGACCAAAGGAAACCTTGGCCACCCACCAAACGAAACCTTGACCACCCACCAAACGAAACCTTGACCACCCACCAAAGGAAACCTTGGCCATCCACCATAGGAAACCTTGACCACCGACCAAAGGAAACCTTGGCCACCCACCAAACGAAACCTTGACCACCCACCAAACGAAACCTTGACCACCCACCAAAGGAAACCTTGGCCACCCACCAAAGGAAACCTTGGCCACCCACCAAACGAAACCTTGGCCACCCACCAAAGGAAACCTTGGCCACCCACCAAAGGAAACCTTGGCCATCCACCAAAGGAAACCTTGACCACCCACCAAAGGAAACCTTGGCCACCCACCAAAGGAAACCTTGGCCACCCACCAAAGGAAACCTTGGCCATCCACCAAAGGAAACCTTGACCACCCACCAAAGGAAACCTTGGCCACCCACCAAAGGAAACCTTGGCCACCCACCAAAGGAAACCTTGGCCACCCACCAAAGGAAACCTTGGCCACCCACCAAAGGAAACCTTGGCCATCCACCAAAGGAAACCTTGGCCATCCACCAAAGGAAACCTTGACCACCCACCAAAGGAAACCTTGGCCACCCACCAAAGGAAACCTTGGCCACCCACCAAAGGAAACCTTGGCCATCCACCAAAGGAAACCTTGGCCATCCACCAAAGGAAACCTTGACCACCCACCAAAGGAAACCTTGACCGCCTATCTTGAGAAACCTTGACATCCACCAAAGAAAACCTTGACCGCCTACCCAACAATACACACTCCTATATATTTTAACAGTGTGGGACAGAAGGGAGTGGACATAGTATGGACATAGTTTGGACAGAGTTTAAACAGAGTTTGGACAGAGGTTATTGCGTAAAAAATGACGATGATGCCATAAAATTTATTCTTTATTACAGTTGTGTGACACTGTATGACATCACATGTCATTAAATGACAACATTATATGACACATAGCATTGGGGCCCTATGCTGTAGCCATGTCTGCCCCCACCCCAGGAAAGCTAGAAAAATATAGTAAAAGTAAAAGGTGTAAGTTCAAACGTAAGCTGAGACAAACGTTTTGTATTATAACTAGACAGATACATAAAATGAAGCAAATGATGTATGCAGTAAGGTGACCTTGTTCTTGACAAAACCCTTGAGGTGGTCGCCCTCAGCGTCACTGATGACGTTGTAGATGACGGAAACAAACGGGGCAACAGACAGGATCTCTTCTTTAAACCTGTAGTAGGGCAGTAGAGTCTCTCTGTACCGGCACACAAGTCTCGGGTTGTTCGGGTTCTGGGTCATGTGATATAATTAACGAATGAGGTGAGAAAAGCTAAAGCAACAATAATTGCTATGCCGTGACTACACCAAACACTACAGATTATTAGCAACCTAACTCTAAACTCAACAATCTCAGACAACTAACCCTAGCTGCGAGTATTCAGGTATCGTTGATGGTAATTTTATCGATACGAGTACGTATGTATGATTAATCTATAAAAACCAACCCGTTACTAAAGAATCGATTCTTACAGGTATGTGGTGCCGATTCTCCAGGCTACAGAGACGGCTGAAGTTCACGAAATTGGCTTTGGGTCGTGTAGGAGTAAAGGCTGGACGTGATCTGAGCTCCTCACCCAGAACTTTAGCGTCACCACACGTAGGCTCTGTGGATTGTGTGGTAGGGTGGTGAGGTAAGGTGGTGTGGTGTGATGTGGTAGGGTTGTGTGGTGTGGTAGGGTGGTGTGGTGTGGTGTGGTAGGGTGGTGTGGTGTGGTGTGGTAGGGTGGTGTGGTGTGGTAGGGTGGTGTGGTGTGGTAGGGTGGTGTGGTGTGGTAGGGTGGCGTAGTGTGGTGTGGTAGGGTGGTGTGGTAGGGTGGTATGGTGTGGTAGGGTGGTGTGGTGTGGTAGGGTGGTGTAATGTGGTAGGGTGGTATGGTGTGGTAGGGTGGTGTGGTGTGGTAGGGTGGTGTAATGTGGTAGGGTGGTATGGTGTGGTAGGGTGGCGTAGTGTGGTGTGGTAGGGTGGTGTGGTGTGGTAGGGTGGTGTGGTAGGGTGGTGTGATAGGGTGGTGTGGTAGGGTGGTGTGGTGTGGTAGGGTGGTGTGGTAGGGTGGTGTGATAGGGTGGTGTGGTAGGGTGGTGTGATAGGGTGGTATGGTGTGGTAGGGTGGTATGGTGTGGTAGGGTGGCGTAGTGTGGTGTGGTAGGGTGGTGTGGTGTGGTAGGGTGGTGTGGTGTGGTAGGGTGGTATGGTGTGGTAGGGTGGTATGGTGTGGTAGGGTGGTATGGTGTGGTAGGGTGGTATGGTGTGGTAGGGTGGTGTGGTGTGGTAGGGTGGTGTGGTGTGGTAGGGTGGTATGGTGTGGTAGGGTGGCGTAGTGTGGTGTGGTAGGGTGGTGTGGTGTGGTAGGGTGGTGTGGTGTGGTAGGGTGGTGTGGTGTGGTAGGGTGGTGTGGTAGGGTAGTGTGGTAGGCTGGTGTGGTAGGCTGGTGTGGTAGGATGATGTGGTGTGGTAAGGTGGTGTGGTGTGGTAGGGTGGTGTGGTGTGGTAGGGTGGTGTGGTAGGGTGGCGTGGTGTGGTAAGGTGGTGTGGTAGGTTTGTGTGTTAGGATGTTGTAGTAGCGTGGTGTAGTAGGTTTATTTTGTAGGGTGGTGTGGTAAACGGTTGTATTCAAATTGTTACCTAATTCTTTAACGTCTTCGTAGATTTGTTCAGCTCTTGTCAGGTCGCCAATCTGATGAGAGATGAGTATTATTAGTACACTAAGACAGTCGCATAGATATTACGTTCAACGGTATCTCAATGTCTATGTAAACTTCAATATACCAAGACAATGGCATCACAACACCTGACAGGCAGGCACCTTCACTCTACGAACGGTACTCACGAGTAAATAAGCGCGCCCCATTAAAGCTGTAACAACCAGAGGTGTTGGTCCTGTTGGGTTGTCGTTACTGTTGTACAAGTTGATTGAGGCGTTCAGCCAATCTAAACTTTGGTTTAGTTTTCCCTCTACGATAAAATATTGTTTGACACTAATCAATATAGACGTGACACGAATTAATATTGACGTGATACTAATCAATACTGACGTGTACCAATCAGTATGGACATGAAACTAATCAATAGGGACGTGACACTAAACAATATAAACGTGACGCTAATCAATATAAACGTGACATTAATCAATATAGACGTGACACTAATCAACATGGACGTGACACTAATCAATAGGGACGTGACACTAATCAATAGGGACGTGACACTAATCAATATAGACGTGACACTAATCAATAGGGATGTGACACCAATCAATATGGACAGAAGTTTCAAGATACTAGCTAAATCCACACACTATTAACGTTCTGGTTAGATGGTAAGGTAGACAGAATATTCTAGATACAGGCTCAGTCGGCATACCCGTGTAAGCTACTGCTCCTATTTCAAAGGCATCTTTTGATGAGAGTGGTGGCCCTTGAAAGCCAAGATAGTCTCCCCTTGCCATGTCTTCGGCTTTCATTTTGTAGACAGACTGTTAGCAAAGTTATATATATATATATATATATATATATATATATATATATATATATATATATATATATATATATATATATATGCGTGTGTGTGTACTTTTGTGTGTGCGTATACATGTTTGCATGTATGTATAATTTGCTAAGCCTGTTATCTTATGCAAGTCTGTGTGTATTTTTTCGGACCTTGTCTGCTATGAGTTGTGTGTGAGCTAGTACCTGTGTATCAACAAATGGCACAATACATGTATTCATGCATTAATGCCCAGACTTTTAAACAACCCAAGTGATGACTGGTAGAACTCGATTAAATACAGACACTATGATTGAGGGCGGTGTCTAATGTTCTTGTGTGGATGTTAGATACCATCATTATGATCACGGTAAAGTCTCGGCTTAACAAAACATGATAACCCTAGTTCTAATTCGCCAATAACATTCGGTGTCATGACAGGTTATTTAGCCTGCTTAACACAGCTCTTAAACCTAAAACAAGTTAATTAAAAAGTCTAGTGACATTTAAGCGCAATTTCCTTATGTTATCTAAAAATAGCTCTGTCGTAGCGTAAATCAAGAGCAGGGTTAGTAAAACCATTGGTTAGTTATTAAAACGTTTTTTATTAATTTTTTTTTCAGTATTTTACATGTTTTATTTACAATAGAGTTACATGACTAAAAACCATTGCGCGCCTACTGAACGTGATGACGCAGCCATTGAACGTGATGGCGCAGCTATTGAACGTGATGACGCGTGTGGTGTGGTTTGATAAATATGCCTACTAATTCGGTCCAAATTTCAATTAATTAAAAAAAAAATTGTGACCGAACGAAAGGATATTTTTGAAAACTTTCCTCAGCAATATTGTTCTAAATTATGGCAGGAATCGATTGGTACATGTTTCAAGTCGCTAAGTGGTCTGGTTGCCGAGATATGGGCCAAAAACTGCATTTTCCGAGGTTTTTTTGGCTTTTCCGGGAAATCCATGAAAGAAACCCGGAATTTTTATGGCCTATATTCATCCTGGTAACTTTCTTAACATAATTGCTTTTGGAACTAGTCATCGATATTGCTTCGTTGAGGAGGAGATACGACTTAAAGCTGCGGACACACATCCATCCATCCATCCATCCATCCATCCATCCATTCATCCATTCATTCATACATTCAAACATCCAGGAATGACGGGTTAATAAACGCAATTCTCCAGAATGGAAATTGCGCTAAAAAATACTGCTGGTAAGCAAATAAAAATTTGTTTGACTAGGTTCAAGATGAGTGTATTACCAAAACCCAACTAGAATGTAAAGTGTGAAATGGTTAAATGGACAGATATTAATGGGCAGCGTTAAAACGATGGGATTAAGATAAAGCAACATTTAACGCCTAATGTCTTCTTAATCTTCGTGTTCATCAGTGTCGCATCCCCTAACATGTATCTAGCAACATTTGATACTGTCTGGTCGTGTGGCTGTGAACTTTCATGTGTTGTGCGGCTATAAACTCCGTGTACCAGTTTAATCTTCTAGAACATGGAAGCTTTAGCTTAGTTTATCTCGGTTTGATCTTACGTAGACTCAATATTTTTAAACTCTGTAGGGACTGGTCCAATGATCTCAAAAGTTTTCATTCCAGTTTTTTAAACGGCATCTGTGTACCTGATATACGCATCATCTGCACCGTATTTTTAGACCAGAAGTTTTATCTTGTTAAACATAACCAAAGTTTATAATTCGAACGTGTTGTAATATTTTCAAGATACAAACACTCAATGTCATTTTACCCTATTCCAGTAACAACCCATATCAATACAGCAACCGCAATCTCCCCACCTACCACACTGACAACCCACCACAATCTTTCCACCAACCATATTGACAACCCACACAGACAACCCACACTGACAACCCACACAGACAACCCACACTGACAACCCACACAGACAACCCACACAGACAACCCACACTCACAACCCACCTGAAGTCTCAGCAGGGACAATCTGGCACCAACCAGATCTTCTTCCTGTGCCATGAAATGTTTGCCTGACCGAGTTGCAGCGTTTAGAAAACTTCCTGCAATTGAAACAGCTTTTTTACTTTCTCGTATATACGAAGTATAGAGAAAGTCTTGTAATCGTGCAAAAAAAACACGAGATTTTTACAAATCTCGACGTTTTACACCTCACTGATACGGAAAAACATAATTTTGCAATCTTGTCCGTATGTCTGTGTGTTTGTGTGTCTGTGTGTGTGTGTATGTGTGTGTGTGTGTGTGTAAACAAGATAACTTGAGTACCGTTACAGCTAGGTTGATGAAATTTCTTATATAAGCATTTTATCAAAATCGTAGATCCTGATCAACTTTTGAGCGATTTCCGATAACCGGAAGTGGTACTTTTTCTACTTTGAATTTTTTTTCTACTTTGAATTTTTCAAAAACCCATAACTTGAGTACTATTTCAGATAGATAAAAGAAATTTCACGTGTAAGTAAAAGATCTAATTCTCTACCTTCTGTCAAATTTTGAATAATTTCCGTTGACCAAAAGTACTAATTTACGCTGTTTCCGATTTCTCAAAAAAACGCATGTAAATTTATAAAGTACTAATAATATTACACACTATTATGCACATTTTGTTTTGGCGTTCGCTTGGTGCGCAACTCTTTTTTCTATGAGATTCTATTGTATTTTTAAAAGTTTAAGTAATTACAAATCATGTCAATATTCCAAGTTATTTAAGAATATTCGAGAAAGTTTAGGGGAGATCACTCCCGGTTTATTTTTTTTAAAGATCAGTTTTGCTACATCTAATCTATTACATTTAAAAAAAAAATTATACTACAACAAATTGCTAATCTTTTACTATTTATTGAAAAGTTGCGCTAACTAGTACAAAACATGCAATGTATACAATGTAGAGCACCCACCAAACCTGTCACCCAGTATCGAGGTGTAATCGTGCAGGTATCGAGTGATGGCCAGGTACACGGCGTTTGGGTGCTGCAGCTTCTCTCTGGCACCTGGGTCGTCGCGAAATCTGACCTCACGTAGTCGATCGGAGTAAAAACTGAGAAGATATTGAGTTGCTAGTCAAATTAGCCATTACTTTATCTCATTATCAATTACGTAATCTTGGTACCCATTACAAATTTCTAAGAACCCATTACATTACATTAGTAAAGATTGCGTTGTCAAAGAATCGATTACATTGTGTAAGTATCGATTTCACAATCCAAGTATCGATTATGTTTCTAAATATCGCCTACATAATCCAAATATTGATTTTTTTGCGATGAGTACCGATTACACACACTTAGTATTCATGTCAGTATATAAGTATCAATAGCATTATCTTAGTATGGATGACATTATCTAAGTATCGATGACATTATCTAAGTATCGATTACATTATCTTAGTATCGATGACATTATCTAAGTATCGATGACATTATCTAAGTATCGATGACATTATCTTAGTATCGATGACATTATCTAAGTATCGATGACATTATCTTAGTATCGATGACATTATCTAAGTGTCGATGACATTATCTAAGTATCGATGACATTATCTTAGTATCGATGACATTATCTAAGTATCGATGACATTATCTTAGTATCGATGACATTATCTTAGTATCGATGACATTATCTTAGTATCGATGACATTATCCTAGTATCGATGACATTATCTTAGTATCGATTACATTATCTAAGAATTGCTTGCATAATCTGTGCGAACTTACATTGACAAAGTCTTCAACCTCTCGTACTGTTGGTCGATGAAAGATTTGAACTCTCCCAGCAGACTCTCCTCCTCCATCACCATCCTCTCCACCTTCAGGGAGGAGGTGAAGATCTCTGACGACGTCAGTGCCACGACTGCTGACAATGTGACAACTGTGACACTGACAAGATACATGACACGATCTGTCGGCAGGAACAAAATGTACAGTTATATATATATATGTATATATTTTAAAAGAGCGTTTTACCGATGTCATCAAATGTTCAATCCTGTGAATCTATCGCTGGTGCAATAAGTGGTGAAACGAGTGACAAGAAATGGTGATTAGTACGTGGCAGTTTTGTTGTGTCAAACACCATCGTGACACTCACGTAGTGTGATATCCACGTGACATCTATGTGACATCGACGTGGCATTAACATAACACTCACGTAATGTGATACGCACGTGACATCGACGTAGCACACACGTGACATTCATGTGATATTCACGTAAAATTTACGTGACATTCACGATCTTCAGATTAGTATATCATTCAGGCATTAGCTGGCTAATGGGCAAACCCTTCATTCGGGCAGGAATATTGTAAAACAAAGGCATAATTTTTTTTTTAAATGTACGGCTATGACGAAAAGAGAATTTTTTAAAATAATAAATTATGTAACAGGCAACGTACCTTTTAAACTTTAAACAAACAGGAAGATTTAAACCGTGACAAAATAGCGGGAGGTATTTAATCAAATGTAACAGCTTATCCCTCTTCGCCCGATCATTGTTCTATGGAGTAGCTAGGTGTAATCATTCAAATATTGACCGCGCGTAATCTGGGTATTGTCACGTGACTTGTGACGACAGGTGTGGGCAGATAGTACCACGCGGGCCAGATCAATGCAAAGACTCCGGGCGATTAGCGATGATATATATATATATATATATATATATATATATATATATATATATATATATATATATATATATATATATATATATATACGTGTGTGTGTAGGTTGTGGGTGTTTGTGTGTCGTTTTGCATGTAGACCATGTATGTATGTTTTTGCGTGACCTAGCCATCCTAAATTAAAAACTATTATATACAGATTAACATGAAACAATTTCACTTAGCATTGTTCGCGATATCAATGTTTAGTTCGCTTATTGTAAGCTCGGTTTAAATGAATATTCGCAACAGATCATCCACGAGTTGTAAGATTTTATTTGACAAACAACTAACAATACGCGCATCAATGATTTTGTTGGGGGATCAAAGGACATTTGTCATCGATCTAGCTGATACATCAAGCTGCGTCTGTGTTACTTAGGTCAAGCAAAGATTACATCGCCCACAACACACAGTCTCTCGAAATACAGTCTAGGACATACAGTCTAGGACATACAGTCTAGGACATACAGTCTAGGACATACAGTCTAGGACATACAGTCTAGGACCTACAGTATAGGACATACAGTCTAGGACATACAGTCTATTAGGACATACAGTCTAGGACATACAGTCTAGGACATACAGTCTAGGACATACAGTCTAGGACATACAGTCTAGGACATACAGTCCAGGACATACAGTCTAGGACATACAGTAGTCTAGGACATACAGTAGTCTAGGACATACAGTCTAGGACATACAGTAGTCTAGGACATACAGTCTAGAACATACAGTCTAGGACATACAATCTAGGACATACAGTCCAGGACATACAGTCTAGGACATACAGTAGTCTAGGACATACAGTCTAGGACATACAATCTAGGACATACAGTCCAGGACATACAGTCTAGGACATACAATGTAGGACACTCAGTCTAGGATATACAGTGTAGGACATACAGGACATAAATATTTTAAGACAGACATTCTGGGACATACGACGTAGGACACAGCTCAGGACACACTCTATTCCACACTGGCTAGCTCACATAACATACAGCCGAAGACACACATAGTAGGACACAGCTAAGGACACACTCTATTCCACACAGGCTAGCCCACAGTTTCATACAGTCGAGGACACACATAGTAGGACACAGCTAAGGACACACTCTATTCCACACAGGCTAGCCCACAGAACATACAGCCGAGGACACACATGGTAGGACACAGCTAAGGACACACTCTATTCCACACAGGCTAGCCCACAGAACATACAGCCGAGGACACACATGGTAGGACACAGCTAAGGACACACTCTATTCCACACAGGCTAGCCCACAGAACATACAGCCGAGGACACACATGGTAGGACACAGCTAAGGACAGAGTCTATTCCACACAGGCTAGCCCACAGAACATACAGCCGAGGACACACATGGTAGGACACACAGGGTAGGACACACAGTCTAGGCTACATTCCAGGACACAGACACGGGTCTACACACATCAAAGACACACATCATGGGACACAACCCATGAGTTTTAATTCTTTAGTGTTGTCTGACACAGTCAAGCTCGGGATTTGATCTTTTGGTATCGATCGTTGCCTCCACAACAATCATATCAATGAAATACAACGCAAATGTAACAGTAAAACACAGATTTGCTGATACAACTCCCATCAGTTGTATACAGCACACAACTACTATATACAAAAGTGGAGATGAGGAGCTAAGTTTGGCTGTTATTTGATTCGTGTTTACAAGTCTGGTGTGGGGAGGAAGGGGGGGGGGCAGCAGAAAACATATAGGCCTAACCATTGTTGTTATAATACATTTTTGTTGATGAAAATACGTGTCTCAGTTAAGCTTTGTTACTAGAAGCTTAACTGCATAGAAATAAAACAAGTGAACAATGAATTCAAGGTATTTAACGCTTGCTAAGATAACAATGTATTTTTTCTAGGAGTAGTGTACCCTTGATGTCCGTGTAGTGTTATGTACGATATATTAATCAGGTTTTACATTAACAGACAGTGGCGTAGGCAGGGGGGGTTGGGGGGGGGGTCATAACCCCACCCACCCCCACCCCCCCCCCCATAGACCCCTGGGTATTTATATAAAGTATGAGGGGGTGGGTGCAAATCGAAAGTTTGAGGCGGGGGGTGCAAATCAAGAGTCTGAGGGGGGGGGGGGAGTGCAAATCGAAAGCTTGTCCCCGGGTAAAAATTGGAATCCCCCCCCCCCCTGAGACAATCCTGGCTACGCCACTGTTAACAGATGTAACACACGTCATCAAACTACCACTAATCGTGCAGTAAATTATTGTTACTGTCTCGAGAAAATTGTCATCGTTCCTTCCTCACGTACTGATGATGTTAGTTGAAGTTTATATAGCAATGTCACGCCGAATAATGGTAATCTGAGACTAAACTTGGCTGGCAGCAACATCACATGACAGTCACCTTCTGGTGAGACATTCACACTAAATGACATGGTAATCCCACACACTGAGATAACAATCCCACACACTGAGTTAACAATCCCACACATTAACTAGATAACGCCACACACTAACTAGACAATCCCACACATTAACTAGATAACGCCACACACTAACTAGACAATCCCACACCCTGAGTTAACAATCACGCACGCTGACTAGACAATCCCACACACTGACTAGACAATCCCACACACTGACTAGACAACCCCACACCCTGAGTTAACAATCCCACACACTGACTAGACAACCCCACACCCTGAGTTAACAATCCCACACACTGACTGGACAATCCTACACACTGACTAGACAATCCCACACACTGACTAGACAACCCCACACCCTGAGTTAACAATCCCACACACTGACTAGACAACCCCACACCCTGAGTTAACAATCCCACACACTAACTAGACAATCCCACACACTGACTAGACAATCCCACACACTGACTGGACAATCCTACACACTGACTAGACAACCCCACACACTGACTGGACAATCCTACACACTGACTAGACAATCCCACACACTAACTAGACAATCCCACACACCAACTAGACAATCCCACACACTGAGTTAACAATCCCACACACTGACATGACAATCACACACATTGACATGATAACCCCACACTAAATGACATAACGATGTCACACTAAATGACATGTCAATCCCTACAATTGACACCAGAATGCACCACATTTCAGACCAAAGTCCGGATCAGAATAATTTTTTAACTCGCAGAAATGTGACAAGACGGTATCTTACTGTCATTCTGTAGATTGTGTTCAGTGAGTTGATAATTCACTGAGGGGGTGGGGTTAAACGGGCAGTATTAGAAGCACAAGTGCAGGAATCATGGGGTAATCTCTGAGTGCTAGAGCCGGCTTTGTTGTTTTATTTCATCACAATCAGTTTGTTACGAAACGGTTTTGTTGTTGTTGATTTCTTTTACAATTTTTCCGGGAAAGAATTGACACCCCAAGAAAATTATAGTTAATTCAGATTAAAGTAGTAATGCATTATGCAACACACATTTATAATTAGAATTATTTTGTATTATGTTGACACATTATCGCTATTTTTATTCGTCCAACAGTATAACGTTGTTTCATCATTATCTGACAACATCACTGATTACAGATTTGAAACGGGAGATTTCCGGTCTAAAATTAGAAAACACGAAAGGCTGGGGAATTCCTGAAGTTTTGTATCGCCAAGGATATTATTTTTTTCGGGTAAGGGCCGTTTTTTTTAACACTCAAAATACCCCTCTCTTCCCCCCCCCCAACCCCACACCACCTTCCCAAACGATTAAATGGGATTAGGAATGTTGATTAAATTGACACTTTAGTGACGTCATGGAAACCCCGTGGGGGCAGAGATAAGACACGGTCCCCCACACCACACCCCCCCCACACACACACATAATCATGTCTGGCTTCCAGAGGCGGCGCTATTACAACAATAAGTTGGTTTGTCTACACCCTCTCATCTAGCCCTGATAATACAAGGATTAAGTGTAGAAACATATCCATTGCAAGTGTGTTTGCTTTAATTTTTTTTAACGTAGCGGATGATGGCAACAATAATTTGAGGATAGGTGACAGAGTGTTTGGTAGGTGGGGTGGGGGGGGGGGGCATAAATATTGACGTAGCTAGGGTAGCTTGGAGTTAGATGTCCATTAAACAAGACTCACCATCCTCATATTTTCCCTTTGTGTCTAAGACATGGGGCCTCCACAGAAATCTTATTCCACTTTTGTCGGTCTCCGGCAGTCCTATCACTGCCAGCTGCTTCCCCCACAATGCACCTCCATGTCTCCCTTGGCCTTTCCTGTTTTCGTTTTCCTTGGGGCGTCCAGTTTAGCGCTATTAAAATAAATCTCATGTAAATTATTAACTTGGGGTGGCAAAATTCGTGCCTGTCGCAGTTGTGTGGCCAGTAGACACGCCTCTGATTGAACCCTCCCCAAAAACTCACCATCTCAGCCACCGTACACCAGCTCGTGCAGTACACCCCCATGTACACAACTAGTGTACACGCCTGGACTGATAACAGTAGCCGTTACCACCAATATATAAAGCCCCACTTTTCCCTTGTTATGATATAGTTCAACGAGTTTGAAATGGTCAGTTAAAAATGGGTGAACCTAATTGTTTTCAGTGAAATTACGCTTTTATATCGAGGTAAATTAAGTACTATATATGTTAATTATGTCAATGTGATCTTAAAATTAGTTATTTATTTCCTTAAAATTTAAAACTATCAAGAGGTTAGTGTTTTCGAAGGGAGATAATACACATTTTTTTGTGTGTGGCGTACTTTACGGGTTGTAGCTATTTATTAATTAAAAAAAATCAAAAACATCAAAAGGAGAAATACATTATAAATATTAAAATTACAGCATATTTCATAAGGTAAATAAGAATTGTATTTTCAAATTAAAGTTTAATTTAAGAAAGTTAACCCATGACACTAGCACTTAATGATTGCACACTTTTGAATATATTTACTTCAATAGGTGTATGCATAATGCATTTTGATAATCGGTCTTTTCCATCCGTCTTTGAAAATCATACAGATCTCTGATCATTATTTTAAATAAAAACGCTATAAGGAAAGGTTTTAAGTAAAAATTAATTTTGTTTTCAGAATTGGCTGCAAAAAACAAGAGAAAGGAAATGGTGTAAATAAAAACAACATATATTTCATACTACTCGTCTATACCCTAGTTCTTAACGTCTTGATCGATCAAGACGTACATGACTGATTGTGTTGGACTTAAGTCATGCTAGAGGCCCAGGTCATGTGCAAGATACTGTTACACTGTTTGGTGGTTGCCATGGTAACGGCTGCGGATCGTTCGGCCAAGCGGAGCAGCGATCCCGTGGCGGACACATGTTCACCGCTGTGTCAGGACGAGACTACGGCTGAGGTGTGTGTCGTGTGTCAGCCTAGGTGTGTCGTGTGTCAGCCTAGGTGTGTCGTGTGTCAGGACGAGACTACGGCTGAGGTGTGTGTCGTGTTTCAGCCTAGGTGTGTCGTGCGTCAGCCTAGGTGTGTCGTGTGTCATGACGAGACTACGGCTGAGGTGTGTGTCGTGTGTCAGCCTAGGTGTGTCGTGTGTCAGCCTAGGTGTGTCGTGTGTCAGGACGAGACTACGGCTGAGGTGTGTGTCGTGTTTCAGCCTAGGTGTGTCGTGTGTCAGCCTAGGTGTGTCGTGTGTCAGGACGAGACTACGGCTGAGGTGTGTGTCGTGTTTCAGCCTAGGTGTGTCGTGTGTCAGTCTAGGTGTGTCGTGTGTCAGCCTAGGTGTGTCAGGACGAGACTACGGCTGAGGTGTGTGTCGTGTGTCGTGTGTCAGACTTGGTATGTCGTGTGTCAGACTGTCGTGTGTCGTGTGTCAGTCTTGGTGTGTCGTGTGTCAGCCTAGGTGTGTCGTGTGTCAGACTTGGTGTGTCGTGTGTCAGACTTGGTGTGTCGTGTGTCAGCCTAGGTGTGTCGTGTGTCAGACTTGGTGTGTCGTGTGTCAGACTTGGTGTGTCGTGTGTCGTGTGTCAGCCTGGGTTTCTCGTGTGTCGTGCCTGGATGTGTCGTGTGTCAGCCTAGGTTTGTCGTGTGTCAGCCTAGGTGTGTCGTGTGTCAGACTTGGTGTATCGTGTGTCAACCTAGGTGTGTCATTTGTCAGACTTGGTGTGTCGTGTGTCGTGTGTCAGCCTGGGTTTCTCGTGTGTCGTGCCTGGATGTGTCGTGTGTCAGCCTAGGTTTGTCGTGTATCAGCCTAGGTGTGTCGTGTGTCAGACTTGGTGTATCGTGTGTCAACCTAGGTGTGTCATTTGTCAGACTTGGTGTGTCGTTTGTCAGACTTGGTGTGTCGTGTGCCAGCCTGAGTGTGTCGTGTGTCAGCCTAGGTGTGTCGTTTGTCAGACTTGGTGTGTCGTTTGTCAGACCTTTTGTGTCGTGTGTCAGACTTGGGTGTGTCGTGTGTCAGCCTAGGTGTGTTGTGTGTCAGACTTGGGTGTGTCGCTTGTACCTGTTTAGACAATGGATGGAACTGTTCTATGGATTTGTCCCCAGCTTCAATGTGCCGAGGAGTACGGATGTTTTGATGCCAAAGTTCAAGAAAACTCCGACTTGTTCTTAGATTGCTGGTCGCCGTGTTGGGGTTTGGCCAGCAAGTGTTTCAAGTAAGTTTTACCATCATTAGATTTTTTTGTGTTTTTTTTCATGACAGATACACGTTGTATGATTTATTTGCACTTAGACTATGCGTATTCGATTTATAAGTAATGATTTCAGTGAATCACTGAGTGTTATTGTAGATGTCATTACAATTACTTATCATGTTTCTAGTGATCTGAAATATTGAAACTCTCCGTCAAAAAGATGCATTTATTCTGTTGCTTAACTTAATGTGGTGAGGAGTTGAAGCTGTATTGGTCGCACAACCTAACATGACTTCAGCAGACGCTAGTAACAACATGACTTAAATTTTCAGCAGACGCTAGTGACATGACTTAAATTTCAATCAGACACTAGTAACATGACTTCAGCAGACACTAGTAACATGACTTCAGTAGACACTAGTAACATGACTTAAATTTTCAGCAGACGCTAGTAACATGACTTAAATTTTCACCAGACGCTAGTAAAATGACTTAAATTTTTAGCAGACGCTAGTAACATGACTTAAATTTTCACCAGACGCTAGTAACATGACTTCAGCAGACGCTAGTAACATGACTTCAATTTTCAGCAGACGCTAGTAACATGACTTCAATTTTCAGCAGACGCTAGTAATATGACTTAAATTTTTAGCAGACGCTAGTAACATGACTTCAATTTTCAGCAGACGCTAGTAATATGACTTAAATTTTTAGCAGACGCTAGTAACATGACTTAAATTTTCTGCAGACGCTAGTGACATGACTTAAATTTCAATCAGACACTAGTAACATGACTTCAGCAGACACTAGTGACTTGACTTCAGTAGACACTAGTAACATGACTTCAGTAGACACTAGTAACATGACTTAAATTTTCAGCAGACACTAGTAACATGACTTAAATTTTCAGCAGACGCTAGTAACATGACTTAAATTTTCAGACTGTGCACCGAGAGCTTCAACGACATCCTGCAGCAGTGTTTCGGTATGTGTACACCAACAGACGAGAGCGAGCCGTGTGTCTCATCGTGTTTCGAACTCATGTTCTTGGAGCTGAAGGAAGGGTAAGTTCCTGCTGCATAACATATGGCTGGTTAACACACCATATGGTAGATAAACACGGTAAAATAACATCAAGCTCAGTAACGTTAATCGTGTGATAAGGTTATTTTCTTATTGATTCTTGATTCTTTTAAAAACAATCTTTGCCTTTTAAAAAGTCTTCTCAATCACCTTTAAATAAACGTCTTCGTATAAATACAGCTGCAATATGTATTGTGTACTTTATGTTCATGCTAAGTTTGTAACCCCTGTTACTTTTATCGATTATTTCACATTATTCAAGTTCATGCAACAACAAAAAAAAAAAAAAAAAAAAAAAAAAACAACAGAAAATATCTAATTATTCTACATTTCAAAATTACCCTAATTAAAATAATTTTTTTTATATATCTAGCACACTGCACCCCGACCACAATACCACCCAGAGAAACGAATCAGAGATCATCCAATCAGAGATCAACCAATCAGACACGACCTTGGATTCAATTCAAGAGGCCACAACAACATTATCCAACCCTCCAGCTGAGGATGTTGGCAACCTCACGACAACCCAAGAATCTGTCAAAGCCATTCCCAGCGTCCTCAGACAGCCAGAAATGACGAAAACTTTGAGATCTGACAAATCTCATTCGATCCAAGTTCTCTTTGACGTCATGGTCTCAGCCTTAGACTTGGATAAAAATAGCTCACCACAGAGTAACGACACTACAGTCTCGACACACAACACAACAGACGAGACGTCCAACTCCCAACAGGAATACCCTAGCTCAGACGTCCCGCGCGAGGAATACCAAACAGAAGCAGACGGCGAGCCGTCGTCTGCTTCCCGTCAGCGAGCCTACCACCAGAGCCACGCCGGACTTCTAGAACTGTTCCAGCCCCGCAGCCAACATCTGAGCAACCAGCTCAAACTTAAACTCGACCCTAAGACAAACGACGACAACACTGACGACAGTCGGCGAATCATTCGTGGAAACAACGACACCGGTTCTACTGAAGTTATCGGAGACGCTAATGAGAAGAGGATGTTGAATATAAGTCTGCCAGACCCGGGGTTCTACCATCGTGGGGACACAGCCGCCTATGACAGGTACAAGAATGAAGTTTTGCGTCAAATTAATTTGTACTTTATGAAGACGCAGCATTTCTTTGATGCCCTGCCCACAGACAAATCTTTTCAAAACAAACTTTCACTGCTCAGTCGAGCTACTGGGTCGTATGACGTCAGTTCTATTTTCATCCAAAGTTCAAGGTCACCTGACAATAATCCGGTGTTGATTGGTTAAAAATCAGAAAACTTTGAAAGATTTGCAGATTTGAAAGGACTATATTTATTGTAATTTTAGAGCTAACATTATCGATCTTTGACTAAGGTCTTGATAGTATGACCAAATGTTGGAGATTGTAATGCTTGACAACTTGCACGTGAAAAAAAAAACCCGAAGTAAAACATGGCTGTAAATAAAATGTACATACATTGGGAAGCTTGTGATTGCGTTTTTACGGATCTTAAGTCATTTGACAGTCGTTTGAGTCTTTATGTGTGGGAGAAGTGGGGATGGGGGTTCGATTGGATGTTTGATATGCGTTGCTCAAACACTGTTCTGTAGTATAGCACAAACGGCTATAACGTATACAAGTTATAGATTTACAAATCGTTTTTTTCCTTTATTGTTTATGTTTATTCACAAAAATTTAAAAACTGACTTTTTAAAATACTGCTTTTTTAAAAAAAACTACTTTTTAACAAAGTGACTGTTTTTTTTTTTCAAAACTGACTTTTCTTTAAATCACTTTTTTTTTTAAAACTGACTTTCTCGAATGTGCAATCGTAGTGACAAAGCGTTACTTTTTATTCGTTTTTAATTTTAATTTTATCTGGTGTGTGGGTTTAATACAGCTTATGCAATCAAACCTATCAAGCACATTTCAAATGTCAATACCTTAAGAGTATTTGATAAACTTGTGTTCTGTTTGATACTTTATATGCAAACGATGACACAAACATTAAATCTAACCCAAACTTTACGGTAAACTTAAATTTGGTCCACATACCCTAAGGTTAATGCGGCAACGCCCATAAGATGTTTCCTTCAACATTATGGTAGCCCGTACATCACTGTGGGAACTTCAAAACGTGGGAATGTGTACCTCAGCTCAGCTTTTAAGGGCCCCTGAGATTGTTGGATAACTCTGGAGTATCTACTTGAAATACATTGATAGATTAGAGTAGAGTCCCTTGTGACACAATTATCTATTTATAGCATTCAAATTACTGCGTGTGTTTATCTAGTCCTAATGACATAGAGAAGTTCTTGTTTCTGAAAAATTCTTATGTAACACTGGGGTACGTTCTGGTGCAGGCAACATCAGTCGTAAGACATATCAATGGCCAATGTTGCCAACTTTTTGAAAACTTGTGTCTGTTTAGCAAGGGTAGAGCAAAAACCCTAGCTACGCCACCACACTGGTCTGATTGTGCCCAAAACTTGACAAGTAATGCCAAGTTTTGGTTGTAGCTTAATGTTTGGGTTAAACTGGTTGTTTTAGAAAAAAATATATTTTCTTGCTTTAGAGTGGGGTACAGTCGAATTATGCCAGCCGGTCAGTGAGGCTTATATTAAGCACATCTTTATTTATTTTAGCAGAATATTTTTGTTAAAATGATAACCCAAGTGATTAGTATGTGCAGAAATAGTTTATTTACATTAAGATGCTGAAGCAGACTGTCTACAAAGTTAGGCGAAGAGAAGCCAAAGTTCGCGAGTAATGAGGGACACAATTGAACACAGGTAGCCGAGGATTTGTTGTGGGTACATCAGCACCCCGTTGTTGGTGCTCCCACCGTCAACTTTTTTCACCTTTGGTTGGAGGTCAAGGTCACGTCTGCTGTCGTTGTCACGTGAGTAGACACGCCCGAATAGAGCAGCCGAGAGCAGCGTGTTGTTGAAGTGTGGGCCGCTGTGGAGGGAGGGGCCGGTATGGAGGGAGGGGCCGATGTGGAGGGAGGGGCCGGTGTGGAGGGAGGGGCCGCTGTGGGGGGAGGGGCCGGTTTGGAGGGAGGGGCCGGTTTGGAGGGAGGGGCCGGTGTGGAGGGAGGGGTCGGTGTGGAGGGAGGGGCCGGTTTGGAGGGAGGGGCCGGTGTGGAGGGAGGGGTCGGTGTGGAGGGAGGGGCCGGTGTGGAGGGAGGGGCCGCTGTGGGGGGAGGGGCCGGTTTGGAGGGAGGGGCCGGTTTGGAGGGAGGGGCCGGTGTGGAGGGAGGGGTCGGTGTGGAGGGAGGGGCCGGTTTGGAGGGAGGGGCCGGTGTGGAGGGAGGGGCCGGTGTGGAGGGAGGGGCCGCTGAAGCTCCAGCTCGCAGCCTCCGCCAGCTGCAGCTCACCCAGGGGGTCTGACAGGACGACCTGGGGGTAGACGTACGGCGTCTGGAGATCTGCAGACATGCGGACGGTGAGAAAACTGGTGGATGTCGTGCTAGTCACAGCCCCGCAGGAAGATTTGTTGCTGACGTCAGCACACTTGACCAGCGCGCAGATCTGGAAGTAGTACTGGCCCTCGTATGTATGCAGACCATCAAACGCGCCAAAAGCGAAAAGTTCACGGCCGAAATTATTTTCATCCATGGCGTAATCGAGATGACAGCAAATCTCGTTTTGACAAACGGAAAGTTTTCCGGACGGTTTGTCTAAAGACCGGAACGTAAACTCGTCGAAAAACAAAAGAGAACGAAACTCATCATGGCTTTTTGGTCTGCTTGTCTTAACCTCATCACGTGATCTTCTTTTGTCAACTTCGTCTTGCAGATTTGACATTGTATCCTCGCTGTCGTGTTTACCTTTCGCTGATACTCGTGTTCCAGGAACTGTGCTTAGACTTTCATCAGGTACCGCCGAGATGTTGTATTTGGGAATCTCCAAGACATCAACGTCAGCCAGCAGGAGCTTGGGCTTGGTCGTGTTCGTCGCCCCGTAGTAGAAAACTTTCATCCCGTGGGGCGTGTAGACGCCGCTCCCGTGAAACCTGTAGTCTGGCAAATGGATGTTGGCGCTGAGGAAATTCACGCCCAGCCCGCGGGCAAAGGAGGAATGGAACCCGACGGCAGAGAGCAGGGGCAGGGCGTCCATCCAGGCGGTGGGGAAGACGATGTTGGAGATGTTGTTCTTCACCACCATCGTCACCCCGGGCTCAGAGAACAGCACATCAAAGCACACCATCATCCCGAACCGGCCGAAAGGCGTGTCGAAATAAACGATTTCCGCTTCCGGTGTGTCGAACTGGGCCTCGTAAAACAGGTGGAACTTGTGGTAACGCGCCAGCAGCGTGCCGTCTGGTCCGAACGCGACGTCCGTGTTGTACTGGAACCGTCCGTCTGGTGGACAGCTGGGGTCTGCTGTGACGTCACAAGGCTGCTTGTCGCCCATGTTGGCCACGAGGTACAGCTTGGTTTCCATGGCGACGCAGCTGAGCGCCCTCAGGATGTCCGTATGGGGGTGGCGGTCAGGGGCGTGGCAGGGGGACCAGGACTCGGCCCGAGGGTCGGGGATGTGCTCCAGGTAAGGGTAGATGGACTCGCGGGTGAAGGTGAAGCCGTAGAGGCCGTCCTCTGGGAACACGATGATGTCAGCACCCTGCAAGCGATAGACTCTGTTATCTACAGCAGAAACCTTGCTACATTCACGTAGTAAAATTTACCAACTTTTTTGTAACGCAAAACATTTTTAGATCACATATTTTTGTTGCTGCTTGAGCTATTTTTACCTGGACGTTCTTCAGGTAAGCTTGAATCACTGTTTAGACACGTACCTGTGATGCTGTTTTTGGTACCCATACACCTGGATATATTTCAGGTAAGCTAAGGGTCATCAAGTGCACACTTACCCGTGATGCCGCTCTCTGTACCTGTTCACCTGGATATATTTCAGGTAAGCTAAGGGTCATCAGGTACACACTTACCTGTGACGCTGCTCTCTTTGCCTGAGTTCTGTACACCTGAATGTTCTTCTTCATGTTAGAAACCGCTTGGTCACGTGATACGACGGTCTTAGGGTCAGCGGGTAAAATCACTGCATGTCCGTACACAGCGGCCTTGAACTTGCTTCTCGTGACCTTTACGGCCCCATGCGAGAAGGTCACGTAGAGTATGGTCACCACGACCAGACGAGTCACATTTAGCAAGGTCATAGCTGAAGAGGGTACGAAGGTCAACAGATCAAGGTCATAGCTGAAGACGATAGAAGGGTAGATCAGTAGAGCCCCACCCTCCCTCCCTACCACAACCTCCTATCCACCACTAAAATCCTACCTTCCCATCCACCAACAACAACCCCATCCACGCACCTTTCAATCCACCACCACCCTTTCATCCACCACCACCAATCACCTATCCATCACATCCCCCTCCACCCTCCCACCCGACCTATTGGAGTAGTCTCAGCTAGTCTCCCAACGATCTAGATCTATGTACTATAATCAACGTAACTGTTCACCATGTTTAAGAAATAATATAGAGGATATATACGTTATAACAGAGAGAAGGAGACAGAGAGAGAGAGAGAGAGAGAGAGAGAGAGAGAGAGAGAGAACGGTGGGGGAGATAATGATGCTACATTAGGGGGAGGGGCGGTAATGTTGTCAACAAACAGAAAATGTTCACATAAAACCGAGTTACAATATCAAACAGCTCATAAGATGAAAGTAGCACAATGTTGTGATAACCCAACATTTACGCTCGTCTATATTTAGACTATGACGTAGCATTTTCAGTGTTCACACGCCGAGTGTGTGGATATTTTTACCCCGTTATCTGTGTGTGTGTGTGTGTCTATGTGTATTTGCGTGTGCGGGGTTTTTTTTGTAGGTGTGTGCGTGTTCTGACTAATCAGGTGTATTAGCCAAGACAACACGTATGTCGACATATTTTTGTGATAACGTGTTGTTGTTAAAAATACAGTCAATTTTAAGAAACATGGGCTATATAAAAAATTATCATCCATGCCGTCAAACCAATGTCATGTGATTCTGCTATATTTAGTAACATCAGTTAGTGGTTTTTACACTAATGGAGTCGATATTGCCATTAGTCTCTGATTATACATAATGGGAAGCTACCCCCCCCCCCACCTCAAACTCATCTTGACTCTGGTGTAGAGAGATCCACAAAACACATTGTAAAAAAAAGTGATCAACAGATAAATAATACTAATATAAATCTAATGTTTATATTAAAAATATATTTGTCCTGTCGTGTATAGACTGGGAAGAATATGCGTACAGGCTTCGATCTAGATGTAATTTACAAGTAAAAAATGACATGCAACTAGCAATCTCTTCTGGAGAAAAAATATTGAAAATTAATTAATCTTAACAATAACATTGTGCTTACCTAAACGAATTGTTAATGTGGATTAGTCTACGTGAAACAACTTTAAATAATTCACTTTGCCTGTACTGATACACAAGCTTGTCATAAATGTTCCAAACATATCACTTTGATAAATGTTCCAAACATACCACTTTGATAAATGTTCCAAACATATCACTTTGATAAAAGTTCCAAACATATCACTTTGATAAATGTTCCAAACATACCACTTTGATAAATGTTCCAAACATATCACTTTGATAAATGTTCCAAACATACCACTTTGATAAATGTTCCAAACATACCACTTTGATACATGTTCCAAACATATCACTTTGAAACAACACGATTAAAAAATCCCCTCTATCTACTCACCTACAACCTACCTGATTCTGTGCTGGTGATAAAATAAAACGCAGTCTTCTTAAGCTAATCACCCAATTTGTTTACATTAATAGTTGGCCGTGTTATCTTTCAAGCTACATAGCCTTCAGTCTTGTATCCCATATATCTAGGCCTATACACATGCGAGTAGGTATAAATGTGTGTAAGACAGCATCTAGTGGTATTAGGTTTTGCCAAGATAAAATTGCGTTGAATAAAGAGTGTTCATTTTATTAAATCTCCGTTGTTATATTTTCAAACTGTTGTTTATTTCTGGACGTTGGTGTGTTTAGATCAAACCCCTGGGGTTCGGTGAGCCATACTTAAGGGTTCGGCTGAGGTCAAGACAAACCCAACCCATATGATACACGATCGAAGTTTATCAGTGCGGACGATAGAACTTTATTAAGAAAGGTTCGGTGAAGGCACACATGAAACTGGTGGGGTTCGGTACCTCCAAAAAGGTTACTACCAGTGGTTTAGAATTAAGTCCCTTGGTTGAGGGGTCCAGCAAAGCTGCTGTTTTATTCAGGTTTTACTTTAACAATGTTTATTTCTGGACGTTCATGTCTTTCTGAGCTTAGATTAACGTCACGTCTGTCTGAGCTTAGATTAACGTCACGTCTGTCTGAGCTTAGATTAACGTCACGCCTGTCTGAGCTTAGATTAACGTCACGCCTGCCTGAGCTTAGATTAACGTCACGCCTGTCGGAGCTTAGATAAACGTTACGTCTGTCGGAGCTTAGATTAACGTCACGTCTGTCGGAGCTTAGATTAACGTCACGTCTGTCTGAGCGGTCTCAGAAAGCTCCTGTTTTAGGAGTCTACGTGGCAGACTGAAATATACCAGTACTTAATTTTATTATTCATGTCGTAACCGAGGAAACAAAATTGCCAAAACGTGTAAAACTAAAACTTAGCATTGGATATTCGGTTCATTTCCGATAATGAGTGGCCTAAATGATAACTTTACTGGTGTTACGTAACTTTAAGTGACTAGAATATACTAACTGGAAATTTTAGCTTAACATACCTATACAAATCAATTTTTGTCAATAAATAAAGTGAAGCTTTTGAAACAGATTTAAACATGGTCTAGCGTAAACATGAGTTATATTCCTGAACTATATAAAAACAACGAACTAGGCATGTAGAACGTGACCTAGAATAAGAGTTATTTCCCTATATTATTTGTGTTTACCCAATGACATAGTGCTGGAGTTATATCCCTGTATTATTTGAGTGGACACCACTTTCTTGCAGTGGCTACATAAAATAAAACAAAATCTCAAATAAATTTCAATTTCCCCAGGTAATATTTATTGCTCAGCCTTCAAGGCTAAAAACATGTGGTCAAAATGTGGTCATCTAACATACACATAATCTGGTAACATATCTTAAAAAGTAGATCAACTACAGCAGACATAAAAAGGTAACATACAGCAATATATCAACAGGGCATTAAAATTACATGGCCTATATAAACTGGTCACATTTAGCAATATGTAGTGTCTAAGATCCTAAATAAATAAATGAAGTTTATACATATAAGTGCATGTTTATCAAGGCTAAGGTTTTGTAGATTGAACACACGCAAAAACAACTATTTTAACACAATATTTTTTTCAATGAAGTATTTTTAGCTATTTCAGTATAACATTGATCAACAATTTCAACTATATCAACACAACACCATATAACACATAGAGTAAGTTTATCAAAGATATGTAAAAGTTATAACAACAACAAAATAACAAACTGCTTGCTGAAAGACTGAATCAGCGGGCTATGTATTAAATAGCTCTATTCATATAGCTTCGTTTAAATAGCTCTATTCACATAGCTCTATTCAAATAGCTCTATTCACATAGCTTCATTTAAATAGTTCAATTCAAATAGCATTATTCAAATAGTTCTATTCAAATTGCTCTATTCACATAGCTCTATTCATATAGCTTCATTTAAATAGCTCTATTCACATAGTTCTATTCAAATAGCTCTATTCACATAGCTCTACTCAAATAGCTCTATTGAAAAGTAATTGTACTACAATAGTGATTGCATCAAAGTAAGCATATTAAACTTGTGAATGTATAAAAGTTGCTCTGTTAAAGAATGAATTCTATTGAAAAGTAATTGTACTACAATAGTGATTGCATCATGGTAAGTATATTAAACTTGTGAATGTATAAAAGTTGCTCTGTTAAAGAATGAATTCTATTGAAAAGTAATTGTACTACAATAGTGATTGCATCAAAGTAAGCATATTAAACTTGTGAATGTATAAAAGTTGTTCTGTTAAAGATATGAATTCTATTGAAAGACTGGCTCAGACCCTCGAAAATAAGGGTTGCATTGCAGTAGACAATCTTCAGAATTGAAGTTACATTAACTTAAGTAGTATAAGGAAGTAAAGTTTCTGTTACAGAAACCATTGTAGTCAAGTTGTCACTAGAGAAGAGATTCTACTGAAGTAGGGGTTGAGTGACATCATTGGTTGGGACTGGTATAACAGTGTCCGCACTATCCGCCTCCCCCTCAGGATCCTCCCAGTCCTCCTCCCTCTTCACAATGAGGCTGCTGTTCTTGATTCCGTACAGGAAGTACAGGACCAAACCTGGGGGGTGGGGCGGGGGGAAGCAAAGGTGAGGAAAAATGGTATTTAAATAATTTTTAAAAAATAAATCAGCTCTAAAACTATATGTAAATTTTCATTTAAACACTTTTTTTTTTTAATCTCTTCCATTTATGTTTTAAGGTTTTGAAATTTTGTAGCAAAGTAGAAAAAAATTTGCTCTGTCTAAACTAGAAAGAACTTAGTCAAATTTCAGAATTTGTAAGTTTATGATGTAATTAATATTTTTTAAACAGTTGTAGACAAATCTAACAATAAAGTTTTTTATCTCAAAAGGGATGCAGCGGTCAAATGTTAGAGCATTTGACTGCTAACCCTAAAAGTATAGACTTCTGATCCCTGTTTCAAGTCCATACAACGTCCATGTGTCCACCCAGCTCTTAAGGGAAAAAAAGGTGACTGGGTATAGTGCTGACCATACTATCCCTACATTGCTGAGAAAAATTGAATCAGGTAAACTCTACTTCACCTGCCCCTTGTACCTTATGGTTTGAAAGGGTACTTTAACTCTCTGAGGATTCAAAAGAAAAACCACATATATTTAAAGTATGTGATCACTCTAAGATGGAACCTACCTATTGCCATCCAGACTAAAAATAGAAGCCATGTGATCCAGTGTAGTGATGTCATCAAATAGAGATTAATGCTGGCAGTGAAAACAGTGATCAGTGGAACAAATGGAGCTCTAAAGCCTTCATGTTTTCTGTGGAAAAGTTATACAGGAATTCTTTAAATAGGCATAACATATGTTTTCTGTGAGGAAAAATTATAGTTTCTTTAATTAGGTTTGAAACATCATGTTTTCTGTGGAAAAGTTATGGACGGTTTTTTAAATAGGCTTATTTAAGCATGTTTTCTGTTGAAAAGTTATACAGGAATTCTTTAAATAGGCTAACACATGTTTTCTGTGAGGAAAAGTTATAGTTTCTTAAAATTAGGTTTGAAACATCATGATTTCTGTAAAAAACTTTTGTTTCTTAAATAGATTTTAAAAAACTTTTCAAATGGTGAAATTAGTGTATCAACTATAAATGACTGTTCCCAAATAAATAAAAATTACTTTTCTAAATTATAAAAGCTGTCAGTTTTGATTTAAAAGATCTCTAATAATTTCTTAAAATATTTTATTCATTTTTCTAACATTGTCCATATTTACTCAGCTTATGTAGGTACCCAGCAAGACACAGGCTATTGCTATGGGTCGATAAAAAAAATTAACCCACTCTGCCTGTATTTGGTACAGTCCTATCAATTCCACTCCATCTTCCCGATGGCTTTGTATCATTGATCTGCTATGTATTTAATTAGCTTAATTAATCAACTGGTGGCTAATTATGAAAAACTTACATTTTTAAGTGTGGAAGAAGCATTAAAATAACAGCAAGGGTTGTCATGGTAACCACCAGCAAACAAAGTATACAAATCACAAGTATATTCTTGTCCAGTATGAACTGGTATAGGTTAGCCACAATGCCACAGCACAGAAATATACTTGCATACAAAGCAAACAGAAAGACGTAGATATGTTGGCTAACATACAGCGTCAATCTCGTACATTTTGAACACTGTGGTTGCTTGTTGCATATATTTTTATCATGTTTGGGAAACTGTGTGTAAACTTCCAATAAAGAAGATTTCTCTTCGCTGTTTTTCAAAAAGTGACCGCTGTCGTTGTGATCGTCTTCATGTCTTTTAGACAGAGAGCTGGAGGAGTCCCTTCTGGAACAAGCAGAGGCACCCTCGGGTTGATACGCAGGGTTTATAACCCCACCCACCTCCTTGCTGGAACTCTCAGAGTGTGATGACTGTCTACTGAAGCTGAGACAAGAACCGTCAGTGGTTTGGTTCACCTGCAGATCTGTGTCGGAAGTTTTTCTTTTAATCCCAGGCAAGCAAGTTAAGTAGGAATCATGATGATTGGAACTCTCTGAGACAGATGTCTGGAACTTGACAGGTATGGGCGTGTAAAGTGGTGCAGAGTAAAGGTCGACGTATCGGATGATTAGCGTTGCATAGGTGACAATGACGTAGGCCAAGAGGGTGCCAATTAGCACCAGTTCAATGAGAAGGGTCAGGTTGACGAATGCTGCAAGAAAGGCGGCCACAAGGCCAGATGTAATGGTTGCACGTAATGCTGTGTGACGCTTGGGGCACACGAGGGAAAAATATCTGAAAGAATAGTCAAATATTTTAAGGTAACTAGATGGCAATAATATAGAGATGGTAAAGTATTTATTTAGAAACATTAAAACTGTCCCTGTATAAACTAAATCGAAGGAAGCCTTTCCACCAAACTTATCTTAACAAAAGCCTATGGCTTAGTTTGTATTTTAACAAAAGCAGAGGCAGGGACAAACTAGCTATTTCATGCCGACGCTTCCCCTCCAATATATTATAGTTATTCATTCATATTGGTGAAAAAGCCCCCCCCCCCCCCCCCATTTTTAAAATGTTGGTTATATTTACCAGTCACTATCCCAAAACAGTGTTTAATTTTTGGTGTAGAAAACAATTAAATCAGTGTGTAAAGCCTTGTAGTTGTATATTTTCTTAACTTTGGCTGTCTATAATTCAATAAAACTTTTTTCTACCCCTTTTGGTGCCCCTGTAGGATCAGCGCCAAGGCAGCCACCCACCCTGCCCCTAGCTAGGCCAATGAACAAAAGCCTAAGGACAGTCTTACGTAAAAAGACCACTATAGTTGGCTTTTTGTAAAAAATCCCAAGGCTTGTATCACCTAAACAAAAGCCCACAACTAAGTCTTACCTATACAAAAGCCCATAACTAGTCTCACCTAAACGACAGCCCATAACTAGTCTCACATAAACAAAAGCCCATGACAAGCCTTACCTAAACAAAAGCCCATAACTAGTTTTACCTAAACACAAGCCCATAACTAGCCTTACCTAAACAAAAGCCCATAACTAGTTTTACCTAAACAAAAGACCATATTTAGCCTTACCTAAACAAAAGCCCATAACTAGTCTTACCTAAACAAAAGCCCATCATGTGCCATGGCTTGTAGCACCCTAGGAAGAGGAAACAAAGATCCAAAAGTGGCAGCAAACAGACCAGCGACCGCCCCCACCCCCATGATGTACTTGAGGGCAGGGTAGCCGTTGATGGCGAACACATCCAGCATAGCTGTGTCTGCTGGGAGTAGGCTGGTGAAGTAGAGTAAATTTTAGATTTATGGGAGTAGGCTGGTGAAGTAGAGTAAATTTTTATATTTATGGGAGTAGGCTGGTGAAGTAGAGTAAATTTTAGATTTATGGGAGTAGGCTGGTGAAGTAGAGTAAATTTTTATATTTATGGGAGTAGGCTGGTGAAGTAGAGTAAATTTTTATATTTATGGGATGTAGGCTGGTGAAGTAGAGTAAATTTTTATATTTAAGGGAGTAGGCTGGTGAAGTAGAGTAAATTTTTATATTTAAGGGATAAGCCTAGGGAAGTAGAATTAATTAGAGTAATTAAGGGAGAGGCCTAGGGAAGTAGAATTAATTAGTGTTATTAAGGGAGAAGCCTAGGGAAGTAGAATTAATTATTGCAATTAAGGAAGAAGCCTAGGGAAGTAGCATTAATTATTGCAATTAAGGGAGAAGCCTAGGGAAGTAGAATTAATTAGTGTAATTAAGGGAGAAGCCTACGGAAGTAGAATTAATTATTGGAATTAAGGAAGAAGCCTAGGGAAGTAGAATTAATTATTGCAATTAAGGAAGAAGCCTAGGGAAGTAGAATTAATTATTGCAATTAAGGGAGAAGCCTAAGGAAGTAGAATTAATTATTGGTCTTCTCAGTGGGTAGGATTTTTGGGTAGAATTCATGTGAAAAAATCTGAGTAGAATTTCTGTGGTGAGTTTTCATGGGTTAAATTCTTGAGTACATTTATTCAGTAGAATTCTCTTGTACAATATGTTGAGTAAACACTGTGTGACATTAATTACTAGGTGTGCTAAACACTTAATATTCATACTGACAAAAAGTTTATACACATTTTATACATATTTTAAAATATATATTCTAAAACTAAAGAAATATTGTACATTTATTTATGTTTATAAAAAAGCTATAATACTACCAAAAAAATAAATAATCAAGCATGCGTAGGGATGGTCAGATGGTAGGGCAAACAACTGCTAACCTGAAAGTCTCAAGTTTGAATCCCAGTTTCATGTCAGTAGAACATCCTTAAGTCCACCCAGCTCTAAAGGGTAACTGACTAGCAATAGGGAAAGTAAAGGTGGCTAGGCATAGTGCTGACCTCACTATCCCTAGTTCATATGACAAGGTCACTGAAATTACTGAACTCTACTTCACCTTTGAAAGGGAACTTACATTTTTTTAAATGCAAGGTTGACAGAGAAAGGAATTTTCATATACAAACTAGACTGGCTATCATACTTTGTTAAGGAAAATTGTTCAAGTAAGTTATCTATAATGTTTTTGTGAGTAGTGCTAATTTGCTGCTGATTCAATAGCTCACTACTGCATTTCTATTTCTGATCCGTGTCAGAGATTTCTGATAGAAGTTCTTACTTGAAAGGCATGTTGAACGTCAAGCCAGCAACAACACATGTAAAGATGAGGATGTTGATGAGGATGGAGAGAACGATGGAGATGGGGATGGATCTGGCCGGAGTCCGGCACTCTGCCCCTGTGGTAGCCAGACCATCAAAACCAATAAATGCATAAAAGGCGGTGGGCACAGCGGTAAATACCTGCAAGGTGGTTTGGTAGAAAAATAATCAGAAAATGTTTTTGTATTGTGTAGATGTTTGATACAATAATGTTTAATATTTTAAAGTATAACAAATCTGTAAAATAATTATGCCAGACTTGCAACATAAAAGATAAAAAAATTATTATTTAAAAGGTGAAACACTAAATTTGAGTATAAAGATACAAGACATCAAAAGTTAGATGAATCCCCTCACTAAACCTTCAGCATATCACTAAATACATCAAATAATCATTGAATTTAAATTGTATACTAATGTAAGTTTGTGACAATTTTTTCTTCATTTTTAAAAAACATTTGAGACAGTATTGATAGTTTGTGTTCTATATTATCTAGAATGTTAATTAAAAATAAAGTAAATAGCTTATAGATTAGTCTATCTTCCTCTCACTAAATACTGACCCTCATGGAGTCAAAGCCAGACTACAGAAAAGACTGACCCCTTGGTATCCGTATGGCAAAAATCCGCCATGTTGTGACCAGTTAGACGAAGAGCCGAGGTAAAGAGAAGCTCCAACAAAAACAGCCCAGACAACAGAGTTGAGGCCGTTGAGGACGTTGTTTACACGGGCTGACATCTGGACACCACTGGCCAGCAGCCACATCAGCAGGAGGCAGACCAGCGCAGCAACAAAGTCAATGTGGGGCAGACCTGGGAGGGGAACGTTGGACAAGGTTAGGGCAGTCAGCAGAGGGCAGACCAGGGCAGCAACAAAGTCTATGTGGGGCAGACCTGGGAGGGGAACGTTGGACAAGGTCAGCCGAGGGCAAATTAGAGCAGTCAATAGGGGGAAGATTAGGGCAGTCAGTAGGGGAAGATTAGGGCAGTCAGTAGGGGGCAGATTAGGGCAGTCAGTAGGGGGCAGATTAGGGCAGTCTGTAGGGGGCAGATAAGGTTAGTCAGTAGGGGCAGATTAGGGCAGTCAGTAGAGGCAATCAGTAGGGGCAGATTAGGGCAGTCAGTAGGGGCAGTCAGTAGGGGGCAGATTAGGGCAGTTAGTAGGGGCAGATTAGGGCAGTCAGTAGAGGCAATCAGTAGGGGCAGATTAGGGCAGTCAGTAGGGGGCAGATTAGGGCATTCAGTAGGGGGCACATTAGGGCAGTCTGTAGGGGGCAGATTAGGGCAGTCAGTAGGGGCAGATTAGGGCAGTTAGTAGGGGCAGATTAGGGCAGTCAGCAAATTAGAGCAGATTAGGGCAGTCAGTAGGGGGCATATTAGGGCAGTCAGTAGGGGGCAGATTAGGGCAGTCAGTGGGAGCAGATTAGGGCGGTTAGCTTTTCTTTATGGTTATTTAAATAGTAGTGTATTATTATATGTTTAAAGATAATCATTTTATGTACTCATTTTAGTGCATTATTACATAAAAGCTTGTTATTCAATGCAGTTTTTTTCTGAAAGAAGTTTTGTTTCATATTTTATAAATGAAAATCTGTTCTTTACAAAAAAAAGTCATATTATGTTCATTAATTAATAAACAATTTCAGCTTAATGATTGATACAACTAATGATATCTGAACTAATCAACAGAAAAACATTAAACAAGTAATTTGAAAAATTATTAAAAGTAAAAAAAAATAAAAAGTTAAGTATTAAATTCAACCAATAGTTTGCTAAGTTAACTTAAAGTCAAATGTTTCTTTTAAATTTAAAGAAGTATAAAGATTAGCCCATCAGTGATATTAAAGTTGTATTACTAATATTTAAAAAACATACAAAACAATGATTCTATTTCAGAGTTTCATTAATGCAGAATTACTTTTTATCGGTAAAGAATTTTGAAAATATCTATTCGTTATTTCCCTTATGTACTTTTAATTTATAAATGGGAAGTAACTACTAATTAAACAGTCAATATAAATAAACTTTTTAGACAATGTTTGTATGATGGTTAGAAGATATCTGGGGGAGGGGGGGGGATATGTGGATAAAGCTTTGTATGAAAATCTATTAGCAATAGAGTGAGTTTACAAGAGGATTAGAGTATTAGAGGATTAGGCATTGAGATATTCACAACAAAATGAACCACCCTTATTGAAGCCTACTATTCCAACATGCAATAGCAATGTTGCATTGATTTACCTAGCAAGTTTTTCCATTCTGACGTTGATCAGTTAAAAATGTACAGGTAATTATTTTAGTCCTAAAAAAATCAAAAGTACATATCACTCACCTGCAGATGCCATGCAACTGTTTAAAAAACCAGAAATCTTTTTTTCAGTGATGGAGTGAAAGGTCTCACTTAAAGCAACAGAAGCGGCTGCTGTGCCTATCACATACTCCACTAGAATAGAACAATGATTATACATGAGTAGAACAATGGTTATACATGAGTAGAACAATAATTATACATGAGTAGAACAATGATTATACATCAGTAGAACAATGATTTTACATGAGTAGAACAATGGTTATACATGAGTAGAACAATGGTTATACATGATTAGAACAATAATTATACATGAGTAGAACAATAATTATACATGAGTAGAACAATGGTTATACATGAGTAGAACAATAATTATACTTGAGTAGAACAATAATTATACATGAGTAGAACAATAATGATACATGCGTAGAATAATGATTATACTTGAGTAGAACAATAATTATACATGCGTAGAATAATGGTTATGATAGACTAGAACAATAGATTTAGTAAAGTAGAACAAGATTCAGTAGAGTACAACAATGGTTATGTTAGGTTAGAACAAATGAGATGGCGTGGTCTAGCTGTAGAGTGCTAGACTGTAAACCCAAAAGTCTTGAGTTCAAATCCTGTGGGAAATAAGGGTGGCTGGGCATAGTGCTGACCACACTATCCATTCATATTGCAAGGGCACAAAAAAAGGTGAACTCTACTTGAGTAGAACAATAGTTTGGTCGAAGCTGATTAATTGAATAGATGGATCCTTAAGAGTTGATGGGACCTTAAGAGTTGATTGATAGAATTGATGGGACCTTAAAGAGTTGATTGATAAAATTGATGGGACCTTAAGAGTTGATTGGTAGAATTGATGGAAACCTGCATGAAGCCATGAAGATTTAGTGACCAACACATCAGATCTACAAATTTAGTTTAGATCTTCTGTTGCAAGCTACATCACACTTTACAGATACTGACAGTATGACTAAGAGCTGTACTTCATTACAAAGGTGATGTAGTTTCAGCTTTTTGAACTTCATGTCTTCAAGTAAAATAACAAACAATGATATTAATAGTTTTAAAATAGAACATTTGATTCATTTTTGACACTTTCAAGAATTTTAAAAAGTAAAAGTCAGACATTAAAAACTAGGATCATGGAAGGAAAGAAACAAACCTATAAGACCCCATCCAATGATGAATGCCCAGAGTTCTCCTATTGTCACGTACGTGTACATGTAGGCGGAGCCGGAGGTATTGGGGCAGATGCCTGCTAGTTCTGCGTAGTGCACACCTGAAAACATCAGCAGGTGATGTGAGAACAGTGAGAGGTATTGTTAGAATTATTGTCATAGCCCACTACACCTGATAGTAAGTGTATAATATTACACTGACATAGTTAACACTGACATTGATTGGATGTGTTATACCATCACTAATAGTGTACTGGTTTATGTTATTCAAATTCCATTATGTAATACATTATTTTTAAAATTAGAACAAATAACTTAGGGAAATAAAATAGAGAAAAAGCAGTAATGTTTACAGCTCTCATTTTGAACAAGATGGAATTTATATAGAAAACACATTTTTTTACCAGTGTCCGCCCTCCCAAAAATGTAGTCTCTCCCCCCCCCCCCCCCCGATGAAATTATAAAATGTCCCCCACGCCCAACCCCCCCCCCCTTCCTTCTCCCACCGTAGAAAAAAGTCTGGAATAAACACTGGTTGCTGTATTGCTGAGTTTCTTTAGTGACATTTTCATTGTTTCTCATTTGTGTCATCCAACTTTCAAGGAAAGGTAGGTATCAGTCTTCTTCTTCTTCTTCTTCGTTCTTAATTATTAGTGTTGAAGGGGATCGAGATTTATCTGCCAGTGGGTTTGAAATCGAGACTTTGTTCGAATTTTTTCAACCATGGGCTTTTTTTGCCGACTCGACCACTCCTCCAACACAATTAAGCGTTACGTGTCAACTGGTTATGCGCCATTGAGGCCATTGACTCCGATTTCAGCCTGCTTTTCTTTTTGGATTTGCTTCCATAGCCTTTGTCCAACCAAGAACAAACTACAAGGCAGCAGTTGTTTAATTTTGGAGTTGTCTCTCCTAGAAGAGTGGCTGTCCCCAGCTAACGAGCCTCATCTGCCCGAGGGTTCGAACTCGAGACTTTTCGGTTTAGCAACCATGAGCTTTACCGACTCGACCACGCCGACCCCTGGTATCAGTCTGATTACTTCAAATATGAAGTAATTACAGATGTAGGCAACCCAAATCTGTGATTAGCAATGTGGACAACCCAAATATGTGATTATTGATGCAGCTAGTCCAAATCAGTTATAAAAAGAAGGGGGAAAATCAACTTTAACAAGAAAATTATGTGATTTAGTGTAAACTCTTTTGTATGTGATTTAGTGTAAACTCTTTTGTATGTGATTTAGTGTAAACTCTCTTGGTCCACTTACCAGCACCTTATGGGGTTGCTACCAATGTTTTTGACCCCCCCCCCCCCTCTCCCCTTCTTAAACAAACACACATCATAGAACAAAGATACCATCAGCTTGAAAATGCCCTCCAGCTCTAGGGCTATTGTCATTAATCAGCACTTAATATTCAGACAAAGGTAGACTCCATAACCAAGGATTAATCCACACATTAAGAGACTACATCGGTATTCATGGACTAGAATTTATTCATGGGCCAGAGGTTATTCATGGACTAGAATTTATTCATGGGTCAAAGGTTATTCATGGGCCAAAGGTTATTCATGTGCCAGAGTTTATTCATGGGCCAGAGGTTATATTCATGGGCCTGAGTTATTCAGCGCAGAGAGGGGGGGGGGGTTAATAGAGCTATAACCTGGCTTGCCATAATTTGCTGCAGTAAAATTTCAAAAGCTAAGTTTCAAAATCTAACAGCCTGCAGAGACTCATTTCACTAGATGAACCATGGGATTGTGTACATATTGGGCGTCCATAAACTGTGGCACGTATTTGGGTGAGGGGTTCACAAATGGTGGCACGTATTTGGGTGAGGGGTTCACAAATGGTGGCACGTATTTGGGTGAGGGGTTCACAAATGGTGGCACATATCTGGACGAGGGGTTCAGAATTGCTTAAAGAGATAAATGGAGTGGAAAAACTGGAAGAAAAAGGCGTGGCAGTGTAGAACATATATTTCTTTAAATTGAGGAAAAACATTATCATTAGTTATAGGTACCCGAGACTTTTGGCATCATTTTAAATATAGGGGGGGGGGGGGCAATTTAAAGTGTAATAGTAAAGTATGTTAAATTTGTCCAACGTCTAATGTAAAAAAAACAACTACAATTGTGTACAAGTGGCCTAGATAAAGGGGGGGGGGGGGATGAGGCTATTAAGGGTAGCTAGGTAGCTGCATCAAAGTGACCTGACTATGTAAAGCCTAGGTTTGATAACACTGGTAAAATCCATAATCTCGTGTCACTGTGGGGAGGGTTTAAAGTTTTAAACTATTTAATTAATTTCAACAGCCTGTACAGTCATAATTATCAACACAACTAGCCTACATTGTCAAACTAACATTTGTACAAAATACAGGATTATTTATTGATTGATTAGAACTAGATCTAATAAACAAAATCCATGATCATTTTTAAAATAAGTCCTGCACTAAGTGTGTCTAGATGTGACAGAAATGAACAGAGTTTCTTCCAGGCATCTCTTCGGGGGGGGGGGGGGGGGGCGCGAAACAATTCTACCGCCCTCCCGAACGAAATTTATATAATTTATATAGAAAATATATACTTTTAACAGTGTCCGCCCCCCCCCCCCCCCCAAGAAAGTCTACCGCCCCCCCCCCCCCCCCCGAAAATGTCAAGTGCCCCCCCCCCCCCCGAGAAAAAAAAGTCTGGAAGAAACACTGAAAATGAAACCGGAAGTACTACCTGTAAGTATAGATCCAAGGCCGGCCAAGATGATAGAGATAATCCCGCCGGGTCCGGCTTTTTTGGCCGCGATGATGCCGGCAGTGAGGTACATGCCGGCCCCACAGCAGCTGCCCACGCCCAGCGAGACGAGGTCCACGGTGGTCAGACATTTCTCCATCTCAGCCTCGTCCTGACAGGAGGCGACAAGATCTAGGGGGCGCTTCCTCGTGACGCGCCGTAAAACCGTCGCCATGTTGTTTCACTGTACGGCTGCTGAAACACGTGCGTATAAAAATATGAAACAAGATTCGCTACACGTCAATTTCTATCAAACTCAAAATCTACATCACGTCTGGTATAAAATTACATCGCCAATGAACAACCACACGCCGACACATAAACCACATGTGGTGATGAAATCTAGTCATCATATCCACATGCGTATGTGAAATTCTATACAAATAATTAAAAAAAAATTATTTACTTGTTTGCGTCATGAGGGTATATACACAAAGTCTACTGCGTGATTTACTTACAAAGTCTACTATTATATGAACTACTTTTTTTCATAGGGTTTCTTCAGTAGTTTCAGAATCGATCAACACAATTTTCATATTGTTATTGTTATTTCAAGTTTACTATTACAGTTTGAGGAGGATCAGGATCGATGATCACAATTTTCATGATACTACTGTTATTTTAAGTTAACAGGTACAGTTGTTTGAGAATGTAACAAAACATGTTACAACAATCCTCACGACAGTAGCTTAGCCCGGATCGTCTCTAGGGGGTTCCCATTTTTACCCGGGGACAAACTTTCGATTTGCATCCCCCCCCCCCTCAGACTTTTGATTTGCACCCCCCCCCTCAAACTTTCGATTTGCACCCCCTCATACTTTATATATATATATATACATATATATATATATATATATATATATATATATATATATATATATATATATATATATATATATATATATATATACCGAGGGGTCTATGGGGGGGGTTATGACCCCCCTAACCCCCCCCTGCCTACGCCACTGCCTCACGATGCTACTGTTATTCAAGATATAGATAGCTAATGTTAAAAGGAAAAATAACTTTAACATAAAATTATTTTAGTAATATGAGACGATTAGAAAAAAAAATGTGTTACAAAAATTAGAAAACGATGTTTTCCACGGACGAAATGTCAAGGTATAGTCAGCACGAATAAAAAGAAAAAAAATGTTTAATTTTAGCTTGAAAATAATCTTGCTTATTGACTTTACAAGGTTCTTTCTGACAATATGCTCAGGGCAGTGAAATTTTCCAGTGATGCGGACATTGGTAAAAGAATATATTTTTCTACATAAAATCTATTTCGTTCGGGGGGCATTAGACGTTCTTCTTGGGAGGGGGGCGGGGCTCCTAACGATGCCTGGAAACTCTGGCACCGGGGGGGGGGGGAAGGATGCGGTGGGGTGTTATCTTTCTTTATTTCGTCCAGGGTAGGGGGGAGCTTTGTTTATTTTTAAAGCGATACAAGGCTGGTTGTTACTGATGTTTATGTCTTGTTTAAAGTTACCACTACTTAGAACAAGGTTTTGTTCCAGTAAAGAAATTCTGACTTTTCACTATACTTGAACTTGGTTTCCAATGTATCTACCATACTGCCAGTTTTAGCCTATTGATTTGTCTGGCCTTTGCTGTGGCTCGGAGCTCCAAATGTCATGACTGATCCTATTGGAGAGCCAGGAGAAAAATGTAAAATAATTACCTGTAATTATTTTTACGTTATCACAAGTCAGGTGACACCATAGAACGGCGACGCCATTTTGGGTCAATCTGAAATACAAAGAACAATGGGATTCTTTAAGTGTGGGTTAAACAATGGGATTGTTTAAGTGTGGGTTAAACAATAGGACTGTTTAGGTGTGGGTTAAACAATGAGATTCTGTGGTGTGGGTTAAACAATGGGATTCTTTAGGTGTAGGTTAAACAATGGGAATATTTAGGTGTGAGTTAAACAATGGGAACGTTTAGGTGTGGGTTAAACTAGGATTCTGTAAATACGATTAAAAAATCCTGTTACCATACATAGTACACTTTCCAGCCATTATTATATTGTGTCTGGTTTGTCGCTAGAATATTCAGTAGTGAAGACACTTTCAAGTCAGCTTTATTGCTAGCATAATTAGCATGGAAAGCTAACAGTTAATAACACTGTCTCTAAGAGAGTGATGTTAATCTCGCTTCATCGCGTAGTCTAATGGATTAACACGGTCAGGTAATAATATTAAGTGATGTACTACAGTTATCGTTTAGCTGAGTTTTTAATTGAATTCCTCTAGAGAGTTCCGAAAACAACATAAAAAACGCTGAAAGTCTTTCAAATGTCTGATGGATGAAATGTTTTAGACGTATTACATTAATAATTCAAGCCATTATTATTTTACAGTTGCAAAAAAAACTTGAGTCATTTGACTTTTAAAAAAAAACTATTTTCTGTTTCAAAACGTCACCCTACGGATTATCAAATCAAATTTAAATTAAGCGCATTTTCAGTTGAATTTTGTATTTAGTTTAAGTTATTTATATTAAACATCAATTGGTTTGACAATTTTAGTGATTGAATGGTTTCGGGCAGCTAATTAAACAGCTAACTAAACTTTTTAAAATTTGAAGTCATGTGCTGGATGTTTATCATGCTCATTTCAATCTGTGGGTTTTGTTTGAATGTAACTCATCAACTCATCACTTTACCCTGAACTAGGGTTAAATCTCCATGATGTAACTCATCAATTTACCCTGAACTAGGGTTAAATCTCCATGATGTAACTCACTATTTAACCTTTGAAATCATCATCACATAAACACAAGATCTAACTTCTAAGCCTACAGTTAACTTTGTGTTGGGGCTAAAAGGGTGTGCGTGTGGGGGGGGGGGGGGGGGGGCTAATATTCAGTGATCTGAGTTAATATCCTGACCTGGGATATCTTAAGGCGGTAATCCGGGGATAAGCCACCTGTGACGCAGACGTCAATATCCGGTTACATTAGACAGTGACGTGTAGATTAGGCCAAATCTGTATCGGGGAGGTCAAGGGAGTGGGGGGGGGGTAGACCTAATCTGTATCGGACATCGGGGAGGTCAAGGGAGTGGAGGGGGGGGGGCAAATAACAAGAGGCTGGGATACATATAATAGCGACTCAGTGGGGGCGGGGGGGGGGGGCAAATAAAGTTTGTCTATGTATAAAATAGTCAAGCCATATTTCTGTTAATTTTCTTACTTCGATAAAGTATAATTCAACAATTCAGTTCAAAAACTGCTGTCCCCACCTAGCGTCGATACTATCAGCTGTAGAAAGACCTAATGAGACAACCAAGGAGGAGGCTCATGAAAACATGTTCATGGAGTATGAAATCTGTGATGTGTACATCTCAAGTCTAACCAGGTCCGATGTATGACATCTGTGATGTGTACATCTTAAGTCTAACCAGGACCGATGTATGACATCTGTGATGTGTACATCTTAAGTCTAACCAGGACCGATGTATGAAATCTGTGATGTGTACATCTCAAGTCTAACCAGGTCCGATTTATGAATCTGTGATGTGTACATCTTAAGTCTAACCAGGCCCCAAGTATGACATCTGTGATGTGTACATCTTAAGTCTAACCAGGACCGATGTATGACATCTGTGATGTGTAGATCTTAAGTCTAACCAGGCCCCAAGTATGACATCTGTGATGTGTACATCTTAAGTCTAACCAGGCCCCAAGTATGACATTTGTGATGTGTACATCTTAAGTCTAACCAGGACCGATGTATGACATCTGTGATGTGTAGATCTTAAGTCTAACCAGGACCGATATATGACATATGTGATGTATAGATCCTAAGTCTAACCAGGCCCCATGTGTCAATGCTCAGTCAAGCGTGTCAATGGGAGTAAACACGGCTTAGATCCCCGACTTGAGACCGATCAATCGACTGTCTCTGTCGCAACATATGTGACGCAATAACAAATTTGACGGGGGGGGGGGGGGGATAACAATAACCCCTACTACAATATGTGATGAAAGATTAAGATGTAAATAAAAGTAATCCGATAATAAATGACAAACACCCACACAGCCTCCCTCACACACCCACACAACTTCCCTCACACACCCACACAACTTCCCTCACTCACCCACACAACTCACTCACTGATCCACACAACCACCCTCACTCACCCACACAACTTATCTCACTCACCCACACAACTTCCCTCACTCACCCACACAACTTCCCTCACTCATCCACACAACCTCATACTACAAGGGATGGCAAAGTAACATTGTATAGTTAATTTCCTTTAGGTTAACCCACACAAGTAAATGTATACCTTTAGGTTAACCCACACCAGAAAATGTATTCCTTTAGGTTAACCTACACCAGTAGATGTATACCCTCGGGTTAACCCACACCAGTAGATGGATAACGTCAGGTTGAACAGAGCCAACATGTCACACATGTGATTTTAAGCAGCCATCACACTGCGTCAAGAACGGTGATAATCACGTTCCTTTTTTTTTTTTTGGCAATAATTAGCGACACAATTTTCTACAAAATGTTTCAATGTTCGACTTGAACAAAGTGACCTAGCTGAGACCATCGACTTGAACAAAGTGACCTAGCTGAGACCATCGACTTGAACAAAGTGACTTGGCTGAGACCATCGACTTGAAAAAAGTGACCTAGCTGAACGTAACTCACCTACAAGCTAGGACATTGGCCGGATATGGCTAGAGACGGAGAAGGGGTGATCGTTTCAAGCTGGTTGACAAGCTTAGACCAAACGTCCCAACACTTGACCATAGTTTCAGTAACCAGGGCACGGGGCCTCCCCCCCCCCCTCCCCAAAGAGATGCCTGGAGGAAACTCTGGTTTTAATCTGTTCATATTTCTGGGAGAGGACGGGCACTGGTTAAGGTGTATATTTTCTATAACAATAATATATTTGTCCTAGTTTGCTCGGAGAGAAGGTTGAAATGCTCCGTGCAATGGCGGCTTCCCCCCCCCCCCCCCCACTCCCTGTAGACATGTCTTAAAGAAACTGTCACCGATATAGTGGTTACAACTCAGTCACCAGCCCTCTTAAACCTAAGCCTAACCCCTATCTAACCTCAATGTTAAAGCTGGCTGAGAGATTAAGTTATGGATTATTCCCTAAAAAATCTTGCACCAGACATCTGTCACGGTATGTTTTATTCACGTGCGGAGAAAATGTAAAGCAACTCTTCTGGTTGAGGTCTAGTCATTCTAATCGTGTAAACTTTAAATCAATGAATATGATATGTATGTTTACAGGCAGGTATAGTTCTTTGAGAAAACAAATTTGTATACCTAAGCCTAAACTAGTTCTGGCCCTAACACAAACTGTAGCTGAACACTACTCCTCTAAGACGTATCGAAGAATAAGAACGTATTTGCATACAGTACAAAATAATCGACACAGTTTAGGCGTTTATAAAGTGGCATCAATCGGTCTATTTACTAGGGCCTGAGATGAAAGGCTTTTATCGTCTGGTCTGTACTAACCAGTACAGTGTCCAGATAGTTATGTGTGTATCGATAATGTGTATCGATCGGCTGGGATAGACATCTCTATGTCTCTCGGACTGGCTGACCAGTGGCAAATATTGATATTCACATAGTTAGCACGTGATTCGTATGGCTAATTACATATTTAATATTTAACCCTTTAAGGCTCCTTAAATAATTAGCACATGGCTAATTGCATAATCAGCACGTGGCATATATGGCTAATTTCATAATTAGCACCGGCTAATTACATAATTAACACGTGGCCCATATGGTTAATTGTATAATTAGCACGTGGCATATATGGCTAATTGCATAATTAGCACCGGCTGATTAATTACATAAGTAGCACTGGCTAGTTACATAATTAGCATATACCCGTTTATAGGTACTTACATAAATAGCATATGGTTCCTGCCCTCACTAGCCAGTGGTCCTTATGGCTACTGGTCGCACTAGCCAGTGGTCCTTATGGTTACTGGTCGCACTAGCCAGTGGTCCTTATGGTTACTGGTCGCACTAGCCAGTGGTCCCACTAGCCAGTGGTCCTTATGGTTACTGGTCGCACTAGCCAGTGGTCCTTATGGTTACTGGTCGCACTAGCCAGTGGTCCTTATGGTTACTGGTCGCACTAGCCAGTGGTCCCACTAGCCAGTGGTCCCTGTGGCTACTGGTTCCACTAGCCAGTGGTCCTTATGGCTACTGGTCCCACTAGCCAGTGGTCCTTATGGTTACTGGTCGCACTAGCCAGTGGTCCTTATGGTTACTGGTCGCACTAGCCAGTGGTCTCACTAGCCAGTGGTCCTTATGGTTACTGGTCGCACTAGCCAGTGGTCCCTGTGGCTACTGGTCCCACTAGCCAGTGGTCCTTATGGCTACTGGTCGCACTAGCCAGTGGTCCTTATGGCTACTGGTCGCACTAGCCAGTGGTCCCACTAGCCAGTGGTCCTTATGGCTACTGGTCGCACTAGCCAGTGGTCGCACTAGCCAGTGGTCCCACTAGCCAGTGGTCCTTATGGCTACTGGTGTATTCCAGCCGAGAGAATTGATGACGTAAGATACCGTTGTCTTAATTATCTGTAACAGGTAACTAAGTCTAGGCTAATTTTAAAAACAAGGGTACACGAACGGTTGGTTTGTTTCGTTAAAAAAAAAACCACCTTCATATTGACTACCAGTGCAGTTTTAACGGCCCGATGAAGCGCTATAACATACACAATAAAGACACTGCCAACTATACATAGACAATAGATATATAGTATGGACATTAGCACACTTTAAAATCTATATCCTGATTATTTTTATTTTGTACCCCCCCCCCATTAGTTGTATAGACTCCAGACTTCTACCATAGCTATGCTGCTATGAATAATGGATGTTGTCAATCAATCCTGAGGCAATAGAACAGTTTTTTTTTTTATCATTTGGTTGTTATTGAATGACCGTACACAAACAATCGTAGGCTATAAAACAAATGACGCTTAGTGTTTCTTTCAGACTTTTTTCTCCCGGGGAGGTGTGGGGGTCAGATTTCCGGGAAGGGGACGACGACAACACAAGTAAAAGTATATGCAGTGTATGAACTATATTTCTTCCATTTCGTTCGGGGGAGGGGGAGTTCCTCTCCCCCACCCTGCCCCCCCACCCTCCAAAAAAAAAAAAAAAAAGAAAGAAACACTGAAGACGCGGTCAGATTTGCTAAAACATGTGGGTCTGACCAATCGATGACTGATACCAAAACTAACTGTAGCAAGAAACTTCGTGTAGCTGCATTAATGACTTATCAAACTATGGTTGCCCACGCCCATACACAAAGGTGGGGGAGGGAGGGGGTGAAACATTGGCCTGAATAATTCTTATCATGTTCATTGATAACATAAAGTTAACGATATTCGTGCGACAATGAAAAGCGCTGGAGATGTATTTAAATCTTTAATTTCAGAAGGTATTCTTTTTTTTCCACTAAAGCCAACACCCATTACGTCACAGCGTGTGCTGAAGTGGGACAGCCGATCTATTTTTAGACTGTGTCGAAGAAGCCGCCGTCTCAATGGGTTGGTCCCGTGTATAAAAATAGCACGTACGTCTTTGTTGATTTCCGGCAATAGTGTGTGTGTGTGCGTGTGTAAAAGCATGATTCTAACTACGTGAAAACAAAAATGTCCGTGTTCACATACACACTATCACACACCATATACAGATGTAGACTGCTTGATGGAAGATTAAATAAAAAGGCTGAATAGTAACAACCCGCACAGCCATACGTGGAAATTTGAGTGTGTGTGTGCTTCGTTACCTGTTTCGTACATCAAGTACCAGCTATACGGGCCAAGCCGTGGGCTTAGAAATGTATCAACTACTAAAATAACTTTACTTTTCCCATTAATTCACACTAACTTCGCCATGCCCAACAACTACTCCAATGTTTATATTACGGCCTAACATTAAAATACATAAAAATAGTAGTTGTAGGCCTACGGATACTTTTTCAAAATGTTAGTAGGCCTAGGCCTAACTAAAAATTTTTGTAAATGGACATAAATACGTCATGTCATAAGCTGATATTGAGGGGCCGCGTTAATGTCAACAAACAAAATATTTTGTTTGAGTAGCCTTATTATTATTCTGTCCAGTATAATTGTAGAGATGTGTAGGTTTTTAAATTGTATTATACCTATAAATAAGCCCAGACCTTACAATATGTGAATATACTTATACTAGATCAATATAGACTTGGCCTTTAACATCGTAAACGTAAAGCTAAGATTTCTGTCGGCCTAAGCCAATATAGACTCTAGATCTAGATCTTGAATCTGTATTGGGAAACGGTTGTTAAAATTAAAAACTTTAACACCAGAATTTATATTCTGTAGTACTAAGTAGTGTAGAGGGCTAACAAAAATAATCAGCTAATAGAACTTACAAAACCAGGCTACCCATTTTAGTCACTATAGTGACTTAAAACTTAGCGAGTGTTAAATGTATCAACACATCATACACACAGGGTGAGAGAAATCAAGGTGGCAAACTTTTAACCACAGGCCTACCCTGGCCCTCGCTAGCCAGTATCTTCTTACTTCACACTACCGTGTGTGTCAGTGATTCGCTGATTGTGTTAGGCCAAGTACGAGTAGGGATGGTTATAAAGGCTAAAGCTTTTACACTGTCACGTAGGCTAAATAAAGAAAGGCTAATTGTTTTTTATAATGGTAACTCATCTTATAGTTTAGCATAATTTCCGGCAGTCAAAACGTAAACACTAACCTTAAACATTCCAGAAGCAAATCAGCAGCACAAGAAGAGGTAAACAAATCCTTTCAACTCGCTGGCGGGGGCTGGTGTGTTGATTTTCCCGCAGTCTTTCGTTTGAAGGGAGACCACTCTCATCGAGTACAGTCGCCTGCCGATGGTCGTAGAATATTTTTACTCGTATCTCCTTTCGGTTATAGATCGGTCTATTTTTAGAACACTGGCTGCTGTTGCAAGAGGTGCTGATTTGTGCCAATAATTTTAATCTTTGAGCCAGTGTGATTGAGAAAAAGGAAACATACATACAGTGTTTCTTCCAGACTTTTTTTCTCCGGGGGGGGGGGGGGGGGGGGCGGACACTGTTAAAAGTATATATTTTCTATATAAATTATATAAATTTCATTTGTTCGGGGGGAGGGGGGGGGGGCGGTAGAATTTTTTCCCACGAAGAGATGCCTGGAAGAAACTCTGCATACATATCTGGTGCCAACAGACTAAACTATTCGGCACATAACTGAGATTACTCCTTTGACTAGCTATGCTGTAAAGTGTGAAGTAAACGTGTCACGTGTCAGTTTTAAGAACAGTAATCAATAAGCTAGTTTTGAAAATGTTCAAACTCACCGCTCTCACATACTACAATAAACGAATAAATCATTGTTTTTAGAATCTTTGTGGGACCTCCCCAACCCCTCCCCCCCCACACACACTAAACCTAGTGTGAAATATGCAGTGTTTCTTCCAGACTTTTTTCTCCGGGGGGGGGGGGGGGGCACTTGAAATTTTCGAGGGGGGGGGGTGCGGTAGACTTTCTTCGAGGGGTTGGTGGGGGGGGGGGCGGACACAGTGATACCTAACTCAGAGGTTTTACATGCAAGCACTAGCACAATGCTACTACCACTAGCACAATGCTGTAAGCACTAGGCACAATGCTACTAGCACTAGCACAATGCTGTAAGCACTAGCACAATGCTACTAGCACTAGCACAATGCTGTAAGCACTAGCACAATGATACTAGCACTAGCATAATGCTGTAAGCACTAGCACAATGCTACTAGCACTAGCACAATGCTACAAGCACAATGCTACAAGCACAATGCTACTAGCACTAGCACAATGCTATTAGCACAATGCTACTAGCACAATGCTACAAGCACAATGCTACTAGCACAATGCTACTAGCACTAGCACAATGCTACTAGCACTAGCACAATGCTACTAGCACAATGCTACAAGCACAATGCTACTAGCACTAGCACACTGCTGCAAGCACTACCACAATGCTACTAGCACAATGCTACGAGCACAATGCTACTAGCACTAGCACAATGCTACTAGCACTAGCACAATGCTACTATAGCTGTAAGCACTAGCACAATGCTGCAAGCACTAGCACAATGCTACTAGCACTAACACAATGCTACACACGAACCAGGACCGTACTAAAATCACAGGGACCAGGGACCCAGTGGTGTAGCGAGGTCGGGTGGTCTCCGGGTGCGGCACTTAAATGGTGTCGCCCCCCAGAGGCGTAGCGGGACTTTTCCCTGCGCCCGGGGACAAACTTTCAATTTTCGAAAACATACATACTTAGCGTGTAAGTATCTCCCATTTAGTCTTAATCGGTTTTATATAGATAGAGATTAACGCCAAATATTTGATGAGTTTTCGATACGCCTTCTGCGTTTCATCATCATTTTTTTCTCGCTCGTGTCAAAGACACATGGGGCAGATCGAGTAGAGTTTTTTTTTCAATGATTTTGGCAGCCCATCGGCCTTTGTTTCCCTAACGTGAGTTAGGTACTCTTCAGAGCTGGGTGGACTCAGAAACGCCCTACATACTCGAACCCAAAATCCTAACTCGAAACAGTTTATTAAAAAGATAAAAACTACTTTGGCTTTATTGAGTAGGTGGGTGTATGGGGTGGGGACAGTGGGGGGAGCAGACTTTCTTCCCCGGTATCTCTTGGGGGGGGGGGGGCGAAATGGAATTTATATAGAAATATATACTTCTAACAGTGTCGCCTCGTCCTCGAAAATTTCAAGTGCTCCCCCCCTCCCCCGGAGAAAAAAGGCTTGAATAAACACTGGGGGAGAGTGGGGACAGTGGGGTGAGAGGGGAGAGGTTGGGGAGAGTCACAAACTTTGATACATTTAAACGAAGTCTATTCTCAGCCGTATTAGGGCTATGCCGAGTCGGAACTGTTTGAATACATTTAATGTTTAAAATGGCAATGATGGGTTTGTAGTTGTTTGGTGGTGTGGAATGATGCGCGGCTGTCTTGCTGGATGGCGCTGGTTCAAACTCATCTTGCGTGAATCAAATTGTTATTGAATGTATCACAACTTTCGATTTTTGTCCTTACTTTCCTTTTTTACCACAAAAAAAAAAAAACCCCCAACCCCCCCCCCCCCCCCCCCCCAAAAACCCCCCAAAAAAAACCTATTCAAATTATGTAATTTTATTTTTTTCTCGTTTGTGAGTTGATTGCTGGCATATACGGTGAATTAAAAAAAAGTCATGCCCCCCCCCCCCTCCCCCGTCCCCCAGATTTTTGCCGACAACAATAAGAAACAAAACTTGGGAAAATTGCGATGGCAGCCTGAAGAATAACCTGATAATTAGGTCATTCTATGTGTAATTTAAATGATAGTTGACAGTAGCATCTAGAACTATTAAAGTAATGCACAATTATTAATTTAAAAATTAATATTGAGCCCTACCTAATTATACTTTATAGTGCATAATTAAACGTAAAAGTAGCAGATATGAACATACATTTAAAACAGGGGTCTCCAAACTACGGCCCGCGGGCCTGATGCGGGCCCGCGAAGTCCTCTCATCCGGCCCGCGGAGATCTTTTTGTCCAAGGAAAAATCGTTTGTTGGTGATGGTTGAGGAACTTTGCCCAGAAAAATCAAAGACATGTCTGGAAAAACTGGCTCCCGAACTGAAATTTGATAGTTAATGGCGGCCCTCGGGTTGAAAAGTTTGGAGACCCCTGATTTAAAACAATACTTGTTCCGATAAAAGTAGAACACGATAAGAGATAGCACTGATCTAACAATTAGGTTCTAACAGAAGCGGAACTACAATTACAATGCCGCCAGAACCCGCAACGCGGCGGGTGGGGGGGGGGGGGGGGTGGGGGGGTGGGGAGGGGCATGGCGTTCATGGGCCCAGCAGCCGTCCATAATAATTTTTTTTATAAAATAATTTTCTTGCATTTTTACTTTCTCGTATATACGAAGTATAGAGAAAGTCTTGTAATCGTGCAAAAAAAAAAAATCGAGATTTTTACAAATCTCGACGTTTTACACCTCACTGATACGGAAAAACATAATTTTGCAATCTTGTCCGTATGTCTGTGTGTCTGTCTGTGTGTCTGTCTGTCTGTCTGTGTGTCCGTGTGTAAACACGATAACTTGAGTACCGTTACAGCTAGGTTGATGAAATTTCATATATAAGTATATTATCAAAATCGTAGATCCGTATCAACTTTTGAGCGATTTCCGATAACCGGAAGTGGTACTTTTCCTACTTTGAATTTTTCAAAAGCCTATAACTTGAGTACTATTTCAGATAGATAAAAGAAATTTCACGTGTAAGTAAAAGATCTAATTCTCTACCTTCTGTTAAATTTTGAGTAATTTCCGTTGACCGGAAGTAGTAATTTACGCTACTTCCGATTTCTCAAAAAACAAATGTAAATTTTTAAAGTACTAATAATATGGCGCACTATTATGCACTTTTTTATAAGGCGTTCACTTGGTGTGCAATTAATTTGTCTACGAGATTTTATTCTATTTTTAAAACTTTAAGTATTTAAAATGGATTAAAAATCATGTCTATAGCCCGAGTTCCCATCCCCTGTTATTTTATATAAGAATATTCGAGAAAGTTTAGGGGAGATCACTCCCGGTTTATTGACTTAATTGTTGTTTTGTAAAAAATATATTGCAGCTGCTGTTGGATTATCTTTATTCTATTGGGGTCATCCATAAACGACGTCACGCTTTTTTGACGATTTTTACCTCCCCCCCCCCTCCACTCCGTCACACATTGTCACAAAAAGCCAGCCCCCCTCCCCCCTCGCTAAAATGACTTCACACCTCAGCCTACAACCCACCCCCCCCTCAAAATGGCAGTTGCATTTTTTTTTAAACATCGATATTTTTCCAAAAAATCTTGTCTGAACTCTGTCAGAATAGAGTATTTTAATCAATTCCTATTACATTTTATAGAACAGTTTTCTAAAACACGAAATAACGTCTAAAATTCGTTTTCTAACATTGCTTTTTTATAATGCAAAAGTGTGACGTCGCACCATCTGAACCTCCCTCCCCCTCATCACACATCTTCACAAAATTACGGACTCCCCCCCCCCCCCCCCCCCCTACGAGTGTGACATAATTTATGGACGACCCCATAGACACCATCCCACGCTCTTGAATATTCTTTTCCCCTTTGTTTTTAAACCATTGTGAAAGCCAAGTCCTTATTCTCATACAATCAAACACACGCTGTTGTCGGCAAAATTCTTTTGAAAAAAAAATCAGTCCATTGCACGAGAGGCCGCTAGATATTAAGACGACTTTTGCTTCTTTATAGCGTTGTTAGGGGTCAACAATTCGTTGTGATTTTACAATGTAAAATGTATTGGTAGAACAACTATTCTGTACCATCCTGTATTCTACAAATAATCAATATTATATATATATATATATATATATATATATATATATATATATATATATATATATATATATATTGAAAAAGGGGGGGGGGCATTTTTTTACGAGGTGGCCCTTTTTTTTCTAGTTCCGGCACTGGATTCTAGTCTATTCCCCAGTCATGATAGATTCTAAATGCTATTGTTATTGTAAGATATTGTTCCAAGTCGTATTTTGTATGAAATAATAGCCGACTGAATAGCCGTATAGGGGCTATTACAAGTAGTCTGTAAATAGCCACAATAATGCTTTTCCCAACCTGTTGTAAATAGCCTTTGCCATATTTAAGTATCAATTTTTAGATCTTACAAAACTGCAAGGCTAACTCTGATTTTAGCGAACACAAAAGCTTTCAAATAAAATGACTCAGAATTATTTCTTTTAACGAAC